CTTGGTGTTGAATATTCTGAGCTCAGGGATTGCAGTCAAAGGTCTAAGGAAACCCTCCATTAGAGGTGGTAGCCTTGTGAAACTGACCCCAGAGAGACAACTCTGCCTCCGGGAGGGGAAATTGGAGCCCAGGCAGAGAAAATTGGATTATGCAGCAGGTTCTATTGCCCCATCTCACCCTGCCAAACAGCCCTGCTGGGTCTGACTTGATATACAGAATATCCCACAGGAAGCCTCCATCTCAGGCTTGGAGTTACCCATGGCTCCAGCCCAATCTTTTCCACATCGCAGCTTCCTCTGCCTGAAGGTTCCTCTCACCTCCCTGCTGGAGCCAATCACAGCAGTGAATCAGTGCTAGCTCTCCAAACCCTTTGCTCGGCCATGGCCGCACTATGGATGCTGCCGGCCCAGGTGTGTCAGTCAGGTGCCTAGGGGTGATGGCTGACAGAGCTGTGCCAGCAGAAGCCCATGTTAGATGCAGTTATACCAGCACAGCTTTTACCAGTCTAGCTTGTTTGGCTCATGGGCAGAGGTTTCACAATCCTGGTACCCCCAGGTCTAGCTGCATTCATGCCAGGAGCGCCTGGCTGGTACACCATACGGGCATTCCTATACTAGTAAAGCGTGCCTTATGGCCTGAGGGAGCTCCTTCTCCTTACCAGGATCTGTCAGGTGATGCTGGCAGCCTATTACAGATGGAAAGCAGAGGCCAGTGCATCTCCAGGAACAAACCAAACAGTGGCCCACATTGCTCTTTGGATTGCAACATATTCCCCGGGGACTCCCTGTTCTTATCCTTCGGAAACCAGAGACGATGGGGAGGGGAAGGGAGACCAGACAGGCCATGATCACTGCTGAACACAGCTCACACAAGCCATCCTCTGCTCCACTTGCCCACTGTGAATGTGAGCTCTGATGATTCTTTCCTTCTGCACAACAGTCCTGCAATTTGGATTCATCACTATCTTTGTGGCAGCTTGTCCTCTGGCGCCCCTTTTCGCCTTGCTCAACAACTGGGTGGAGATCCGCCTGGATGCACAGAAGTTTGTCTGCGAGTACCGTCGTCCTGTGGCTGAGCGGGCCCAGGGCATTGGCATCTGGTTTTATATCCTGGAGGTCATCACCCACTTGGCTGTCATCAGTAACGTGAGTAGCGCTGGGCAGTGAGGGAGAGGGAGGAGAAGCCAGCTCCCAGCATTCAGACACAGCCAGCCACATTGCTGACAGTTAATATAATCATGTAGCATTGTGGAGTTTGAAGGCAGCCACTGAGCAGGCCGGTATTGGGGACAGGGGACTGAAAGCCAGAACTAAAGAGAATGTTACTGAAATCCCACTTGGCAGATACAAGTCTGTAGACACGATATAGTAACTGGAGTGTACGCAGAGCTGTTGTATGTGACAGAACCAAGCTCAGATTCGAGGGCTGCTGCAGCTCAGCCTCTGGCTCAGTAACCCCTTAAAAGGGTACTCTACTATTGGAGCAGTGTTACCTGACACAGCCTGCTCTGACGGGTTCCTCATCTCTGCAGCTTAATTCCGAAGCACAACGGGACTGGTTTTCAATGACCAGTGAGAGCTGTACAGTATTGAAGGGTGTCTGCATTTGAAAATTAAATGCTTGCTGCTATAATTGCTAGTGAGCAGTAACCCTGCAGGTCTGACAAGCCTCAATCCAAACTTTCACTGGGGACTTGCCTCAGTAGGAAGTGCAGGGTCAGAGTTTGGGTGGGGGGTTGGTGTCTGGGAGAGGTGGTCCAGCCAAACACAAGTGTCACACAAAGCTTCAGAGTAACAACACTTAGCTTGGGGCTCAAGCAGGTATGCTGAAAAGGTGCGTGGACATCTGTAATGTGGTAGGAACCTGGCTGTAGCACTAGTGTTTTCCTCCTTATTTCAGGCCTTCCTGATTGCCTTCACTTCAGACTTCTTGCCCCGGCTGTATTATCAGTACACCCACGCCAGTGACCTGCAGGGCTATGTTAACTTCACCCTGGCGTATGCTCCAAAGCACTTTGCCTCACAGCACAACGTCACGTGCAGGTAGGAGTCCCAGCTCGGCTGCTTGGGGGGCGGGCCTCAGGACAAAACTCCTTCCCATTCTCCATTTGAATTGCAACCTCTGATTTTTCCTAGTGTTTGTTTTCTCTTCAGGACAGTTCTCTCCTCTGTGGGGCCCCAGCCATGTTTGGGAGTGAAAGATGGGCTCAGGAAGGCACATGCTTTGTTTCCACTTACTTTAGCACAGGTCTCACACAGGATTATTTCACACCGATTATTGAGAATGCTGCCCCATCCAGCAAGGGGTGGGAGAGGGAAGGGAGACCCAAAGGCTAGTTCAGTTTATCAGGGGACAAAAGATACACCATTACATAGACACATCCAATTTACACCTGAGTTAGGCAGTGCAGCATTAGCTTCCCTAGGGGAGTGCCACTCGGGTCCTCCTTCATGTACGCGGGGGCTCACCTCTTTGTGCTCTTGTTGTAAATCAGTTTTGAAGGAATTTGAATGTGTTTTTTAACTGAGCTACTTCTACTCTGACTGATTTACCTTGCTGCTGCTTGCCAGTCCTGGAGGAATGGGCACATACTCCCTCCTGGAGAGCTGGCATTAGCCATGCCTTACACCCAGGCAGTTCATGGGCCAGATAAATGCCATCAGTTATTAATCCTTAAGAGTGATTACATATGTGGATGAAGTCACAGAATGCAAAGTTGTGGGAGTGAGACTACTAGTGGTTGCCCTGAGGATGTTGACATGCAAGGGCTCCTCTTTGCACCTAGATGCATCACAGCTGGGAATGTTATCTTCTCTTCCCCAGGTACCGTGCATACAGGGATGAGAGCGGCAGGTACTTGCTAACCTATTGGAACCTACTAGCAATCCGCCTGGGCTTTATTATAGTGTTTGAGGTACCTCCCTCTCATTTTCCTCAATCAGTTCCCCCTGCCAAGGTTTTATTCCTTTGCTGTCCCATTCCTCATTCTAAGTTTTTTTTCCTACACCTGTCCCCAGGGCATGTACTGTCCAGCACTGCCTGTTTCTGGCCAGGCATAGACGTTGCCCCTGTGGAGTTGAACCAAGCAGTATCCCCCAGAGAGCACACTCTCTTCAAGTCCTTTCAGTGCCTGTCCCATTCCCTGCAGTCAGGCACTTCCATACTGTTCCTTACTCATCTGGACTTGCTTTGAAAAGAATCAGCTGTCTGATTGGACACATTGCTCTTTTCCAGCATGTGGTTTTCTTTATTGCTCGTCTGATAGACCTGATGGTGCCTGACATTCCTGAGTCACTGCAGATCAAGGTGAAGCGTGAACGTTATCTGGCAAAGCAGGCACTGGCTGAGAACAAGGTAAATCTCAGGGCCAGTGGTCTTTATTCTACATTGGGTAGTCAGTAGGTGGTCTATGGGCCACATCTGGACTGCCAGATGCTTTTGAACAGACCCTCACATCTTTTTATTTACTCTGGAGTCTGCTTTCCTGTGGGCATCCCACTGCCAACCCCTGGAAGATGTCAAGATGAAATGCACTACAGTAACACCCCATTCCTTTTGGTCTTCAGATGTTTCATTAGCAGCTGGGGGGCTCCCTGTTCATAACCCCTTTCTCCATAGTCATTGATAATCTCTTCACTCATTTCTGTTGTTCCCCAAGTTTTCTTCTGGTTGTAGTTTCTGGACAGGCTTGTCTGATTCTGTCAGTTCTGCCCCTTAAGTCTTAAAATTACATACCTGATGAAGCCAGGAATTCATGCTTTCCTCCCTTAAACATAGCTGATGCCAAAGCAGTTAGTATCCACAGCATTGTAGCTTTCTAATTGTCCTTTCTTCTTTTGATCCATTGCTGAGATAGGCCCTCTTTGAGAGAAAGGAAGTTGGAGCCACCTCCAGCACTATGCAAACAGCACCCAAAGACTGGGAGCTAGGTGGGATGCATGAAAACCAGGAGCCTACCCAACTGCAGACGACGACGTCTACACACACATTAGCTGCTAGTCCGGAAGCTCATCCTCAGCACCAGTTTGAGCCTGAAGCAGAATCCCCATGAATTGCTATTGACTCAGTTTTAAAACACAAAACACAATAAATGGTGACTGCTTCTATGTGGGTGTGAATGAAACTGAGTTCAGCCATGGAGCATGTGATTTCTAGCACACTCCTTTGGAAGAGATGAGCTCAACTTGGCTCTGACCCTGAGCTGGGTGGCTGTTGTATATAAGAAACGTTGCAGAGGAATGAATTATTTTAGTGAAATTTCAGAGTGGATAATTGTAATTTCATGGATAAATAAAGCACGCCAATTAATAGTACAGTGACAGACATACTTGAATACCAGCTAAGTCCTTAGAGCCCTGCAGGTTAAACTAAAGTTGGAGCTGGCTGACTTTGGGGTTGGAAGAAATTCCTTCTTGCTCTGAGCTATGGTAGCAGACATGTGGGCTGTATGGCCCTCAGCTGGCAAGAGGATGGTATGTGGGAGAAGCAGTGCTTCAGGCTGAAATGAAGCAAGTCCCACTGCTCCAGTGAGGTGGGAAGCAGCAATTCAACAGGCCTGGCTCTTACACAGCCGCAGCAGGGGCTCAAGGGAAGTCTAAACCACAGCATGTTGTCAGACAGGAGCAAGCCTAACTTCCTCCCTCCCTCCCTCCCGAGAGAGGAAATGTGGAGTTATGCACTCTGTTCCCTTACAGAGGAGAGCAGGGGAGAGCCTGGGCACTAACTGGGGTTCTTTACAGTAGTAGGCATGGAGAGGGGGCCCTGAGGGCACCCACTTCACTAGTGCTGGCCTTAATACCTCTTCCTCCCTAGGACCTGCACTCTGGTAGGACCACTGAGCCTGGTTAGTAGGTAATAAATCCAGACAGGGAACAACTGACACTTTAAGATGACAGCTTAAGTCTGAAAGAACCTATGAAGATTAGGCTAGCCCCTGCCCGAATGTACATGGAGAAGCAATCTCTTCACAAACCATGGGCAGAGAAATACAACATTCCAAGCTGTTTCAGGTTTTTATTTTAGAATTTATAAAATTCCAGTGTCATCCATACTCATGAGCCTTTTTACATGTTTGCATATAGTCTCCAAATTCCAAAGTTAAGGCCAAGGGATCATTGCCATGGAAACATACACTATGGAAGACGTTGAAAATAAAGGAAATGGAGCACATACCAGAGCATCTGCTACAGACTGAGGGGTAGCAGGAGACAGTACTAGGTACAATCATCACTTCATGACCTTTAGCATGTAGGGGACCCTGAATTTAATTCAAGCCAAGCGGGGCAAGTGATGGGGGTTGGTTTTTTGGGAGGGGAGAGAAGAGGAGGGCAGGCTTGATAACCTCAAGATGTACCCCTTCCCCATCTGGGTTGTCTAGCCCTTTTCAAAGTCCCTGTAGCTGAAAAGGAGGGAATTAGGGCACTACCCTCATTTGGTCAGCCACCCCCCTTTAGACATCTACCACGGGGCTGAAGTGTGGTCAAGTTAGTCACCACTGCCTTTGCATAGTTCTGGGACCTGGCTTGTTCAGTTGACCGCAATTCTCCACTTCACTCTAAGCATCAGGACATTTTGGTGTCTGACTTCTGGGCTAGGGTCCTCTTCCGAAGAGGGCTAGAGCAGAGGGGGTTGGGGAAAAGAAGAAATGTCAGCATTTCTAAGCCTCACTTTTAACACAGGTGCAGTGCTGGGAACAGCAAGAGAACTGGGGCCAGCCTTTGAACATAATGACCCTTGCCCCAGTCAGCATTATTGGGGAGAGACTGGAGACTTGCTTGCACAGGCGCTGAAGCAGTAGGGAAATGGAGGTAGGAAAGGAGAAGACCCCACTCCCTCACCACACCAACACAATTTCTCTCTGGCTGCGTGAGCAGCTCACTGAAGAAGCCTCCTCTGAGCAAGCTGTGTCAGTGCTTAGGGTTCAGCAACTCAGGGACCAAGATGCTACGGTACTGAGCATGGGATTCACCACATACAGTGGCAAGCCCTGGGCCTTAGTGCTCCCTGCACTCTTTGCCTCTGTGTACTTCAGAGCAACTTGACTTTCTGTAGCTCAGAGCTGACATGCAACCTGCCTGTCTTCCCTCCCCCAAAACCAAGCCCACCTTCTGGCTGAGTACTACCGCTCTAAGGGGTGGGAGTATGTTACACCGTAACCTTACTCTTAGTTTCGCGCGCATGTGCATGTTTCCAACAGCTACATATGCTGATTGATGCTCTTCAGCTCTCCCTGCACCTGGTGCAGAGAATTCAGCTCTGGCCCCCACAGTGAGATGAGCAGGTTAGCATCAGTGCTGACGCTCTAGACTAGGAGGCCACCCCCAGACTGGTTTTTGAGGTAGAAAGAAGGCAATAGCAAATAGTGACAAATTCCCTACCCCTTGTGTCCAAATGCTGTCAGTGGGAGGGGGAAAATTATGTAGCTTCAGCATTGCAGTTCCCATCAGCTAGCTCCTGGGCCATGTTACTATAGCAACCTGGGCTGACCCAAATTCTGTTGCACCCCATAATACTGTCATGTCCTGGCTCTGACCAGCTCTGCTGCTGTTGGGAAGAACAAACAAGGGGAGAAAGGGGAACACTGGGAAGTAGCTATATTTTTTACTCTCACATGTTGGAAGACTCATCAAGTGTGCATGTGAGAATCGAGGCTCTCAATGCTACACATGGACACGCTCAGTGCCACATATCACTCAAAGGCTTTTCTACTTGACCAGGGGATCCCTTGTGTCACTGCTGGTCCCTTCCAGTGTCGTTGCTTCTACAGATTATTGTATTGTTCCTTTAAAAGCAGTTTCTAATCTTTAGACTTTTAGCTCACTCCCCACATCCACTATCACTGTTAGATGGATTTTTGGCAGTTCAAAGGAAAAGCTGATTGCACTCTACAATAGTAAGGTAAGGTCCAGGATAAACACAAAGGAAAGAGGGCAAACGTTTTGGCTTTTAGAAAGTCAAGGAAATTTATTTCCTGAGGTCATGAGACAGGAAGTTGATTCCTAGCCACAGTAAAGGAGGTCTCCTAATGAAGGCTGGAGTGCCTAGCAAGACATGCTCAAGGTATCTGATCACTGTCACCACTTCGGTAGTTGTGAAGCTTAGCAGATGAAAGTCACTTATGACGTTTCAAACAAAAAGCTGTGTCTGAATCAGAGTGGAAAGCTTGGGGTGGGGGAAGGAAGAGAACTATCCATTTATAGTAGGTCCTAAACCCAGTAACAACAGACAAGTAGAATGGGTTCTAGCACTCCACACAGCATTAGGAGACCTCGCAGGGCAATTTACTTGTGGTCCAGCCGCTGGGTCAGAATTCAAACAGGAAGTATTTGTGGCAGGTTAGTGTCAGGTCAGCTAGCTGGAGGAGATGTTCCTGCTTCCAGGTCATTATCGTTTGGGGCCCCAGGGAAGAGTCTTGGGGGCCACTTGAGCCCCAAAGCTGGGGAAATCTTCAGAACTGCTCATATCAGGGGCCTAGAGCAAAGAAGAGAGAATGGTCCAAGTTATATAGGCTGGCTGCAGTTCTATACAACACTCAAGAAGCTCAGAGACAACTGTAGCATTCAAGAAATATCACATGTGCAAACACGTAATGAGTGAGGAGGGGGAAGAGGACGACTGTTGCAAGGCCACATATGGAAGAGTGTGTTGTAGGATATCAAAGTTCTTGAAAGGTGCAGAGGTCAAGGACAGTACAGCAACAGGGTTTTAGTAGGACCCATGAAAACAGCAGGCAAGTCACTAAGATGGGTCACAAAAGGATCATGATCTGAATTAACCTAATCAGTTTAGAATATCAGGGAAGCAGATTCTGCAGGAAGGTCAGAAGGACATCTACTTCTTGGGGAGATTGACACCAAGTATAGTTTGCCCACTGTTTCCTCAATGGTGCCAGGTCTACCCTAATACTCAAATGCTATCCTCTATGTTCTACTCCTCCTCATCGCTGTAGTACGCAGTAGTAGTGAAGTATTCCTGCTAACAGGCAAGGCTTTTCTGCACAGTGGCAGGGGAGACACTAGCTGGGTCAGAGGTTCTTGACACCCCTTAATTTCTATGGTTCAGGCTAGCTTTAGAACAGAGACCTGCCAGGTCTTCAATGCACCTCGTGAGGACCAAGTGGCCAACAAGAAGGTATTTGGTTTAGACCTTTCAGAGAACGGTCAGAAGTCCCTAACTGAGTTCCACAGTAACCAAGTGCCAGCCACAGCGGCTTTGGAAGGCAATCTCAGCTCCAGGGGCTGTGGAGCGGAGATTTGCCAGGCTAGCTACTCCTTTCAGAGTCTCTACAGGAGGATTCTGTTGTTCTTAGAGGGGAGAGGTGACAGCAGCGGAGGAAAGCTGGGCAATTTAGAAACCCAACATACTAACTTCTAGGAGCCTAGCACATAGTGTGGGCAAGCTCTCTAGGTGATGAAACAGACTGATCATGACACTCCCCAATTGTCAGGAAAGGCCTACAAATCCACTAAAAAGAGGGAAGAACATGATTCTGAAAAAAACAGTTACTTATCTTTCATAACTGTTGTTCTTCGAGAGGTGTTGCTCATGTCCATTCCATTCTAGGTGTGTGTGCACCCACGTGCATAGTTGTCAAAATTTTTTGCCTTAGCAGTATCCGCAGGGTCAGCCGTGGTGCCCTCTGGAGTGCCACGCTCATGCGGCAGTATATCAGGTGCTGCTGGCCCTGCGCCCTCTCAGTTCCTTCTTGCTGGGCAACTCTGACAGAAGGGTAGGCAGGCGGGTAGTGGAATGGACATAAGCAACACATCTCAAAGAACAGTTACGAAAGGCAGGTAACAATTTTTTCTTCAAATGCTTGCTCAGGTCAATTCCATTCTAGGTGACTCTCAAGCAGTACCCCTGGAGGTTGGCTTGGAGTTCACGACTGTGTGGCTTGCAACACTGCTCTACCAAAGCCAGCATTGTCCCAGGCCTGGGGTAAGCACGTAATGGGATGTGAACATGTGGCTAGACGACCAGGTAGCAACCCTACAGATATTTTGGATCAGAACCTGGCCTAGGAAGGCTGAGGCTTGTGCCCTGGTTGAATGGGTGATCACAATTGCCAGCAGTGGCACTTTCACCTGTTCATAGCAAAAATGAATATACAGGTGGTGATCCATGATGAAACTCTGGGTGGCCACAGGAAGGCCCTTTATCCTGTCTGCCACCATGACGAATAGCTGCATGGACTTACGGAATGGCTTAGTCATAGAATCAGACTTTAAGGTCAGAAGGGACCATTATGATCATCTAGTCTGACCTCCTGCACAATGCAGGCCACAGAATCTCACCCACCCACTCCTGTATCAAACCTGAGCCACTGAAGTCCTCAAATCACGGTTTAAAGACTTCAAGATGCAGAGAATCTTCCAGTAAGCGACCCGTGCCCCACGCTGCAGAGGAAGGCGAAAAAACCCCAGGGCCTCTGCCAATCTGCCCTGGAGGAAAATTCTTTCCCAACCCCAAATATGGGCAAGACTCACCAGCCAGACACCCAGGAAAGAATTCTCTGTAGTAACTCAGATCCCACCCCATCTAACATCTCATCACAAGCCATTAGGCATATTTACCGCTAATAGTCAAAGAGCCTAATTTTGGCAATTAATTGATATCCCATCGTATCCCTTCCATAAACTTATCAAGCTTAGTCTTGAAGCCAGATATATCTTTTGCCCCCACTACTACCCCTGGAAGGCTGTTCCAGAACTTCACTCCTCTGATGGTTAGAAACCTTCATCTAAATTTCAAGTCTAAACTTCCTGATGGCCAGTTTATATCCATTTGTTCTTGTGTCCACATTGGTACTGAGCTTAAATAATTCCTCTCCCTCCCTGGTATTTATTCCTCTGATATATTTGTAGAGAGCAATCATATCTCCCCTCAGCCTTCTGTTGGTTAGGCTAAACAAGCCAAGCTCTTTGAGTCTCCTATCATAAGACAGGTTTTCCATTCCTCGGATCATCCTGGTAGCCCTTCTCTGTACCTGTTCCAGTTTGAATTCATCCTTCTTAAACATGGGAGACCAGAACTGCACACAGTATTCCAGATGAGGTCTCACCAGTGCCTTGTAGAACGGTACTAACACCTCCTTATCTCTACTGGAAATACCTCGCCTGATGCATCCCAAGACCGCATTAGCTTTTTTCACGGCCATATCACATTGGCAGCTCATAGTCACCCTATGATCAACCAATACTCCGAGGTCCTTCTCCTCCGTTACTTCCAACTGATGCGTCCCCAGCTTATAACAATAATTCTTGTTATTAATCCCTAAATGCATAACCTTGCACTTTTCAGTATTAAATTTCATCCTATTAGTCCAGTTTACAAGGTCATCCAGATCTTCCTGTATGATATCCCAGTTCTTCTCTGTATTGGCAATACCTCCCAGCTTTGTGTCATCCGCAAACTTTATTAGCACATTCCCACTTTTTGTCCCAAGGTCAGGAATAAAAAGATTAAATAAGATTGGTCCCAAAACCGATCCCTGAGGAACTCCACTAGTAAACTCCCTCCAGCCTGATAGTTCACCTTTCAGTATAACCCATTGTAGTCTCCCCTTTAAGCAGTTCCTTATCCACCTTTCAATTTTCATATTGATCTCCATCTTTTCCAATTTACCTAATAACTCCCCACGTGGAACTGTATCAAATGCCTTACTGAAACAGAGGTAAATTAGATCCACTGCGTTTCCTTTGTCTAAAAAAAATCTGTTACCTTCTCAAAGAAGGAGATCAAGTTGGTTTGGCACGATCTACCCTTTGTAAAACCATGTTGTAATTTGTCCCAATTACCATCAACCTCAATGTCCTTAACTACTTTCTCCTTCAAATTTTTTTCCAAGACCTTGCATACTACAGATGTCAAACTAACAGGCCTGTAGTTGCCCGGATCACTTTTCCCCCCTTTCTTAAAGATAGGAACTATGTTAGCAATTCTCCAGTCATATGGTACAACCCCTGAGTTTACAGATTCATTAAAAATTCTTGCTAATGGGCTTGCAATTTCATGTGCCAGCTCCTTTAATATTCTTCGATGAAGATTATCTGGGCCCCCGATTTAGTCCCATTAAGCTGTTCGAGTTTGGCTTCTACCTCGGATGTGGTAATATCTATTTGCATATCCTCATTCCCATTTGTCATCCTACCATTACCCCTAAGCTCCTCATTAAAGACTGAGGCAAAGTATGTGTTTAGATATTGGGCCATGCCTAGATTATCCTTAACCTCCACTCCGTCCTCAGTGTTTAGCGGTCCCACGTCTTTCTTTGTTTTCTTCTTATTTATATAGCTATAAAAAACTTTTACTATTGGTTTTAATTCCCTTTGCAAGGTCCAACTCTATATGGCTTTTGGCCTTCTCACTTTATCCCTACATGTTCTGACCTCAATAAGGTAGCTTTCCTTGCTGATCACTCCCATCTTCCACTCCTTGTAGCTGCTTTTCCTTAATCACCTCTCTGAGATGCTTGCTCATCCAGCTTGGTCTACAACTCCTGCCTACGAATTTTTTCCCCTTTCTTGAGATGCAGGCTTCTGATAGTTTCTGCAACTTTGATTTGAAGTAATTCTAGGCTTCCTCATCCCCAAGTTCTTCAGTCCAATCCACTTCCCTAACTAATTTCCTTAATTTTTTAAAGTTAGCCCTTTTGAAATCAAAAGCCCTAGTCACAGATCTATTTTTGTTTATCCTTCCATTTAGTTTAAACTGAATGAGCTCATGATCACTCGAACCAAGGTTGTCTTCTACAACCATTTCTTCTATGAGGTCCTCACTACTCACCAAAACCAAATCTAAAATGGCATCCCCTCTTGTTGGTTCAGCAACTACTTGGTGAAGGAATCCATCAGCTATCGCATCTAAGAAAATCTGAGCCCTATTATTATTACTAGCACTTGTTCTCCAGTCTATATCTGGGAAGTTAAAGTCTCCCATAATCTCACAACTCCCATTAGTATTTACTTCATTAAAAACATTTAAAAGGTTTCTATCCATATCCAAATCAGATCCCGGTGGTCTATAGCACACCCCAAGCGCACTCTCAGGGGAGGCTCTAGTAGCTTTCTTCCCCAATGTAATTTTTGCCCAGACAGACTGTCTTATCCATTCCATTCCTTATTTCTTTACATTCTACCTCATCGATAGAAATAAAGGCAAAGGTGGTGGAGTAGCATTGTATGTCTTTCCTAAACAGCACATACCCTTCAATACCTGTGCTCCAGTCATGACTACTATTCCACCATGTTTCTGTTATCCCTATAATATCCGGTTTCACTTCCTGCACCAGTAACTCTAGTTGCTCCATTTTGTTACCTAGGCTCCTCGCATTGGTGTATAAACATCTTAATTCTTGCTGTTTGGCTTTGCTCACATTCTTTACCTGATTAGGCCCAGACATTCTACCTCCAGTATCACCTATTAGACTAGTATCTACACTACCCTTCCTCCTTATGTCCATTCTCCTACCCACGGCTGTATCCTTTCTTACTTTGTTTTCTTCCCTCTCAATGTTAAAATCCGGCGTGGAGATTACCTGGACATCTCCCCCCAATTCCTAGAAGTCTATTTCCCTCCCTACTCAGGTGAAGTCCATCCCAAGAGAACAGTCCTCTGTCCATGAATGCCTCCCAGTGGCCATACATCCCAAAGCCCTCCTTATAGCACCACTGCCTGAGCCATCTGTTGATCGTCATAATCTTGTCACACCTTTGTTGCCCTTCTCTAGGAACAGGCAGAAACCCACTGAAGATCACCTGAGCCTCTATTTCCTTAAGCATCTTCCACAGCCTGGCATAGTCTCCCTTGATACGTTCCAGCAAGAATCTAGCCGTATCATTCGTTCCCACATGAAGGGCAATCAGTGGATTCTTTCCCGCTCCTGTTAGGATCCTCTTCAGCCTCAGGTCATAGAATCATAGAATATCAGAGTTGGAAGGGACCTCAGGAGGTCATCTAGTCCAACCACCTCACCCTCCCTGATTGAACTAACCTCGTTATCTCCATACTGATTTATACCTGCCTCTGGAAATTTCCATTACTTGCGTCTGATGAAGTGGGCATTCACCCACAAAAGCTTATGCTCCAACACTTCTGTTAGTCTTAAAGGTGCCACAGGACCCTCTGTTGATCATTAATAAAGATATTAAACAAAACCGGCCCCAGGACCGACCCTTGGGGCACTCCGCTTGAAACCGGCTGCCAACTAGACATGGAGCCATTGATCACTACCCGTTGAGCCCGACGATCTAGCCAGCTTTCTATCCACCTTACAGTCCATTCATCCAGCCCATACTTTAACTTGCCGGCAAGAATACTGTGGGAGACCGTATCAAAAGCTTTGCTAACGTCAAGATATATCACATCCACCGCTTTCCGCATATCCACAGAGCCAATTATCTCATCATAGAAGGCAATTAGGTTAGTCAGGCACGACTTCCCCTTGGTGAATCCATGCTGACTGTTCCTGATCACTTTCCTCTCCTCTAAGTGTTTCATAATTGATTCCTTGAGGACCTGCTCCACGATATTTTCATGGACTGAGGTGAGGCTGACTGGCCTGTAGTTCCCCGGATCCTCCTTCCCTTTTTTTAAGATGGGCACTACATTAGCCTTTTTCCAGTCATCCGGGACCTTCCCCGATTGCCATGAGTTTTCAAAGAGTCCACATCCCGTATCTTAGCACCCGGCAGACAGCACACCCTTCTGTTCTCTGGATCAGCTCTGGTAACAGGCCTGTCTATTCTTCTCAGTAAGGAGTCTCCAATCACGTAGACCTGCCTTTTCCTGGTGACTGTGCGATTCTCTGGTCTATCCTCTGTTCCCTCTGGCTGCAAGTCCTCTCGATTCCTAGTCACCCTTGCAATCCTCCGCAACCCATCCCGTATCCTTTCCTTTCCCTTTCTATGTAAAAGGCTAGTGCCCTCCTGATGTCCAGAGAATGTAATCTATGGTCCTCATCTGATTTATGAGGTTTTGGAAAGAAGACTGGTAAGTATATGTCTTGGTTGGTATGAAATTGTAAAACTACTTTGGGCAGGATAGCTTGGTGCTGCCACAGCTGGACCTTGTAGAATACCATATAGGGTGGTTCTGAGATAAGCACCCTAATCTCAGAGACCCTACAGGCTGACATTATTGCCACCAGGAGAATTGCAGGGTGTAGCCCAGAGATATACTGAGCACCTAATGGTCTGAAGTTACTTGCGACCATGCTGACTGGAAGCAACACAGGCGGTTGAGGAAGGAGTAGGAAAGTGGATCCTGAGAACTAACTGCAGTGTCATCCTTGGGTGAACCCTCAAAATGAGTGCTTATGACCCCCCCCCAGTATTTTGCTGGGCCAGGCTGAGTGGGCGAATGGGAGGTGGAGGGGAGACGATGACTGAACCCTCTGTCTCTCTTCTCCTAAAACAGCCTTGCCGGGGAGGCCAAAGCGTAGGAGGTGGCTGGAATTGCTTTCTCGCCGTTCGCTCGCTAGGCCTGCATACGCCACAGAGAGTGGCTCGAGAATCCTCGAGTCCATGCAGCCTCGCATCCGTTTGCTCTGAAAAGAGCCCATTGCCTTCGAAGGGAAGGTCCTGGATGGAGGACTGCATCTCCTAGGACAGACCCAAGGATTGAAGCCAGGAATTGGCCGCATCCCAGGCCATCTGTAGAGAGCCCCTCGCCACTGCGGTACCTTCCTCCAGGATGGTAGCAAACTCCTGAGGCAGGGAGTCAGAACTTCTTGAGACAATTTTAACTTGTGGGATTGCATCTCCCCAACAAAGAGTGGTGGTTTGATACTCTGAACTGAAAGCTGGCCATAGAATAAAAACTTTTCTTCTGGAAAGATCCAGCCTCCAGGCATCTTTGTTTTTCTACGTAGAACTCACTTGCCCTTGCCTGTCCCTTTCATTGGCCGCAGATATGATTATGTCCCTGGGGGTGGATGGGTATACAAATATTTGAACGTATTAGCGGGGACACTATTTCTTTTCTGCCCACTTGGAGGTGCGCAGGATAAAAGACGGGATTTGCCACAGGGCCTTGGCTATCTTCAAATTCCTCTCATGTACCAGCAGTGTGATCCGTGATGGGGCTGCTTCTGTTAGAATGTTGAACAAGTTGCCCAACTGCTCCGCCAGTTCCTCCACTTCCAAGCCCAAGTTCGAAGCCACCCTTCTAAGCAGGGCTTTGTGCTCTTTAAAGTCCTCGCGGGGACTGACATGCAAGGGCCATGCTACTGCCTCATCTGACGATGACTGCACCACTGAGGGAGGGCCTGGGGCATTATCCCCTGTAGGGGACGGCTCCCTTGGAGTGGGCACCTGCTTCTCTACCCCAGCATTGGAGTCCGCGCCGCACACGGAGTCTGGTACAGTCGTTGCAGGGGGTTGCTTCTCTGAAGCAGGAGGGGAGGAATGGTACGAGAAGGACATCAGCATCACCAGCATGCCCCACGCATTCCAATAGGACTGGCCACTGACCCTGCTACCATGCCGGCACTGTGGGAGCAGAGATGGACCCCGGTGCCCACAAGATTTGCTGCTGCCACGGCAAGGGGCTAAAGTCCCACTCTGACCTAGACGAGTCCCCTTCCAGTGACCAAGGCGGGACTGTAGATGCTTGCGTCTGGTGGCTGACCGTAGGCGCCAGGGAACGGTGCCTCAAGTAAGGTGATCGGTCCCTCTCTGAGGACTGGTGGCGGGGGCATGGAGACCAGTGCCAGGAAGGTGAGATGTCCCATACCAGCAGAGACCTGCACCGGGACATCGGCTGGTGAAAGGACGATCGGTGCTGGGTGTACGGAGACCGATGCCTCACTGCAGGTCTTCTGCGCCGGTGGAGACCAGGACCGCGGTGATGGCGACCTGGGCCATCTGACCGGAGATCTAGGTTGCCGAGTCAGGGGCCTCAGTAGTGGAACTTTGCCTCTGCTCCGGGGAGGGATGGTGTTCAACTGCCCTCTGAGGTGGTCTCATAGCTGGCTTGCCCTTAGCCACCTCCAATACGCCAGAAGGGCTCTCTGGTCCCTAGCTGCCTGGAGGGCCTCAGACGTTGAAGGTACAACCAGGTGCCAGGGTCCCTACTGCTCCCAGGAGTGGGATCCCTGGGTGGGGGGGTCCTGGGGGCTACAGCCTGAGAGGTACCCCCTTGAGGCTCCGGAGTGGGCAGACAGCCCTGTCTCTCCTTGCTTGATGCCGGGGAGCCTCGCTTTTTCAGGTGCTTCTTGGACACCGGCAAAGGGGAGCGGGGCCGGGCAGAACGCTCTTCACCGATGCCACGGTGCTAGGCGTAGAGTTGGAGCAGGAAGGCTCTAACGCCGGATGAAGTGCAGCCTCCATAAGAAGGGCCCTTAGACGAATTTCCCCGCTTCTTTTGAGTTCTGGGTCAAAAGTTCTTGCAAATTTGATACTTGTCCTTCATGTGCGACTCTCCCAAGCCGCTGCCTGAAGTGCTATGAGGGTCGCTAACACGCACAGGCCTATTGTAGGCTGAACAAGGCTTGAAACCCTGGGACAGAACAAGGAGTAATGGTCTCAAGTTGCAGTGGGGGAGGTTTAGGTTGGATATTAGGAAAAGCTTTTTCACTAGGAGGGTGGTGAAGCACTGGAATGGGTTACCTACGGAGGTGGTGGAATCTCCTTCCTTAAAGGTTTTAAGGTCAGGCTTGACAAAGCCCTGGCTGGGATGATTTAGTTGGGGATTGGTCCTGCTTTGAGCAGGGGGCTGGACTAGATGACCTCCTGAGGTCCCTTCCAACCCTGATATTCTATGATTCTATGACCGGCCAGGGCAAAATCCCTGCTGAGACTAATTTACTAAAACCAACCCTTACAACTTAACACCTAATTACTAACTACTGTAAACAACTATATACAAAGAAAACAGACAATAGGTGCTGGGGAAAACCCATTATCCACTTGCAAGGCAAGGGGAAGTTGCTCTGACCAACTGTCAGGGGCAGTAAGAAGGAACTGAGGTCGTAAGGCGGTGACTCTTCATATACCAGCACATGAGCGTGGCACTCCAGAGGGCACCACAGCCGGCCCTACAGATACAACTAAGGCAAAAAATTCCAATATCTGTGCACATGGACGCGCACACACCTAGCATGGAATCGACATGAGCAAGCACTCAAAGAAGAACAGGCATTGCTCCCTCAAAGGTCCCACAATGAACAGTGAGATGACCCTCCTGTTCACATCCTGGCCATGCGGAGTGCATAGCACAGGAACAGTCTCTAGGAAGAGGAACCTCTGGAGGTGCAATAGCAGAAGCAGCACTCACCTTCTCATTGTTGCCAGCTGCCCAGGGGGCATCTCTCACCACAAATCCCTTGGATGGGGCCTTGGACTCCTCATGCGCGGAGGGTTTCATGTACACCTGCATCGCCTCATTGTCCACCACATCAGCCAGCTGCAGACAGAGGGCAGCACAGGGAGAGAGGTTCTCTTTGTATGGTGATGTTCCTTGTGTTCCCTACTTGGTCAATGGAGTCTCCCCTCCCCCACAGCGTCAAACAGCAATTGCTGCCAATAGCAGCTGCCTAAGACTAGCTTGTTGCACCCCTTAGATAGGCAGACGACATCCATCTGACCAGCTGCTCTAATCACTCATTTAACCCCCCTCCCCTCACTTCAGTGGCACGGGGCAGTGGCCACATAGGCTGCCTTGACACTGCTTCACGAGCCAACACCTCCTCGGGGCTCTAACTTCTAGGGACAGTTGCACAGAACAGCTGAAACTGCCATGAGCACAGTGCGAGAGAGACGGATGGGAGGAGGAAAACGCTAGCTTCCTCTGCCCACAAGTGGCAGGAGCCAGACAGAGCTGGACATTCAGTGATTATCATGCAGCAGTATGCCCGTATTAGAGATGTCCCATAAGTTTCCACAGCTGCTCGCTGAGCTCCCTGCGCACACACAGCAGGGACTTGTAGTTTTTAGGCCTATACTCTCCACTAACAAGGAAGTTAAGTGGGCTGTTTATGCTTACAGACAAGAGCCATTCTTCTGGCCTTCACGTCCCTGCCTCCTCCACTACTCACATATTCCTCCTCCAAGTTCAGGATATGATCTATTGCTTCCTCCACGTTATCAGGGAGCCCGGTCACAGTCACACAGTTGGGGTCAGACGCGCCGCTCTGGGGGAAGCGGATATCCACCTGGAATGGAAGGCACAGCAGAGGGTTTTAGATGTGCACTGGCCCCTCTCAGCTGGCTCATCATTCTGGAGGTCCATGGCTAGGCTGCAGTGATGACCCACAGGCGCTCACAGTCAGAGGGCTCGTTTGCACTGGACCATACCAACCCCCGGTGGGGAGTGTTTGGTTTCCAATACAAAGGAGCGCTGAGCTGGAGCCCATACACAGCAGGAAGCCTCATTCCCAGCAGAATGGAGTCTGTTCAGCTTGGGAGCAGGGGGATCTGACCCTTCTCCAGCCACTGCTGCCATTCACTCAGCACCCCACAGCTTTGTAGTGTTGTGCAGCCCAGAGCCCAGCAGGGCTGAGCTGCCCTACCACCAGCACCTGCCCCGGGCAGAGTACCCACTTCTGCAGAGCGCTTAGATCTCTGGCAGCCAGAATGCTGGCAATTGCTCCCACTGCCTTTACAACCTGCCATGCTTTACCAGTCGCTATAATGGTGGGAGTTCTAACCACTACATTCTCAGCTATCACCTCCTCTGTCAAACCACCGCTAGTGCCGCCTCGCGACACTGGACTGCTGGCAAAAACCAGAGGGTTCTAGTGAGCTTCCAGGAGTCGCCAGCAGCTCTCAGCTTGTTTTAGACACACTAAAGCCCCAGGGACAGAGTGGTGCTCAAGATGCCACAATTTCCTCTTCAAAGAGCTTTCCAGCCTTCCCAATTTCTGAGAGACAGAAGGGAAGTGCAGGTCTGCAGCCTGGCACAGACTCAGAGGTCTGAGCTCTCCCCAGGGCTATCAGTGGGTTGTTCATGGCAAAGCTAAAAGACAAATGCAGTGTCAATGATGTTCATTATTTCACTGCTGATCATTTCAAGAGACAGACACCACTAAGGCCTTTCTTCCAAGAGCCCAAACAATCCTAATCCAGCCTGAGACAGGTGTGTGGCCTGTTGCTTTGGGCACTGCTGGAAGGTAATCCAATATTACAGTGAAGCTGGCTAGAACAGAAGTGTCTCCCACGCACCGCGAGGGACCCAAAAACCCAAGCTGCCCCCTACTCAGCTCCCCCGGTCACAAACAGCTTCCATAAAGCAGCTGTGTTTTCAATAGGAAAATCTGAACCCACTGAAAGTGTTAAAGATGTAAGGGCACCACAAACACTGAATCCAACAGCAAATTCGATACAGAGCGTATGGGACTTTGGATTTTTGTTTATCAAAAGCTGCCAGATTCCCTAGTAGTCTCGCAGAGCTGAGTACCCAGGGCTCTGGGAATGTCAAACGCCCCTCAGAGAGGTGCCTAAATTATAGCACAGGTTCTTCATGGGCTCCAAGCAGGGGTACCAGGAGGCCATGGCCCCATCAATTTTAAAAGCCATAAGGGTGGGCGTGGTGGGGGAGAAAGAGGAGTGAGAGCAGGGGGTGGGGCCTCAGGGGAAGAGACAGTGTGAGATCAGGGCCTTGGGGATAGAGGCAGGCCTCAGTTCGGGCACCATTGGGCCCCCCTGACACTTTTAGGAAGCTTCTGCCACCCCGGCTCCATAATCAGTGACAGGGCAGCAGATAAAGCCATTCCCTCTTACTGGGAGAAGCCATTCAGCTCAGGTCTGAAAGTGTGAAGTGATCAGACCATTGTGATTGTGATGGACAGGTGCCACTGGCAGAGGCACCTGAAGAACAGTTGTGGCTTAGCCCTGGGAACAGCACAGAGGGATCACACAGAAGCAGGTCTGCCAGATTAAATCCACCCAGGCCACAGACACTCAAGGATACATCTAACACTGCAACTGACCACCTGCAGCTGGCCCACGTCAGCCGACCGGGGTTCAGGCTGCAGGGCTATACAATTGCAATGTAGCTGTTTGGGCTCAGGCTGGAGCCAGGGCCCACAAACCTGAGCATCTACCCTGCAGTTAAACAGCTCTGTAGCCCCAGCCAGCTGACGGGCCAGCCGCTGGTGTTCAACTGGAGTGCAGACACAGCCTAAGGGCTCAATGGAGTTCTCTCTCAGCCAGTGTATGGAACACTGAAGTCATGTGTCCCACCCTGGGAAGAGCTCCAGAAACCAACTGGGACTCAGAAACCCTGGGTCACCATTTCCAGAGATCCCATTTTGCTCAAGGTGGGGGGAGGGCACAGAAGGGAGAAGAGCAGGCTGCTTCAACCCATTCCCAGTTGTGGTGTCCAATCAACTCTGCTGCCTGGAGTCTATGAAGGAGCCACAGGTCCATCTACGCCCTGGCATGCAGCCCTGGCTCAGACTAGAGTAAGCACAGGAAGAGAGCAAGGCCTGTGCAGCTAGACAGACTGGGGCCTTGCCTCCCATCACCTGACTCCTGTGTGCAGCCATCTCCGTCCCAGTCAAGCCCAGAGAGAGATTCCCTGTAACACATCAGCACTATCATCCTTCCAGCCTTTGCAGCCCAGGTCAGGATTTGTGCAGAGGGCAGAAAGCATGGGCATTAAGAGCCCCAAAGTCCTGGGTTTGTAATAGTTCAAGTTACCCCAACCATTGTACAGCAGCCCCTGCAATGGATCCAGCATACTCTGTGCCCACCTTGAACTCATCCATGATTTTGCGGATGGCTTTGCCCCGTGCTCCAATGATGCGGGCATGAACACGATGGTCCAGCATCACATCCTCAGAGACCATCTGCTCCAGCTCGCCCACAATCTTCATGATGGCGTCTCGGGCTGCCTCGGTGTTCTTTTCATAGCCAGTTATGGTGATCTGATCCTGGGACTAGGAAAGCAGATTGGGGAGGAAGTTAGAATGGGCCTCCTGGACCATGGACCAAACCCATCCTGGACCTCTTAGGGAGAAGTCTGACTGGAAGGCAATACTACAGGAGACTCTGGGCTGGAAACCAAGTGTAGTGTCAGACTGGCCTGCCTGGGACAGGCTTGGGATGTTTTTTTCTTTGATCAGCATTTTGCAGTGAGCAGCTGCTGGAAATGTCATGTGTGCTCTACTCAGAGCCCAGAGTCTCTATTGTGCCCCAGAAGGCTTTATCCCCCTCCAGTCCTCACCTGATTTTCATCATCCTTATCCGGAAACTGGATGTTGACCTCATGCTCCGTGCGGATCTGGGTGATCACTGCCCCCTTCCTTCCAATAATTTTAGGGTGGTATTTGGGGTCCACAGTGACAGTCAGCTTGAAGCTTCGCAAGGCCTGTAATGAGAAGGGAGACCCTCTCGAGCGCTATAGCAGAGTATACACCAAGGTTTGGCCAATTAAATCCATTCCTGTCTATGTCAAACTTCTACCTCCATCTCTCAAGTATCCCGTCTGTAAGGGGACACCACACATTTAGGTAGATTCTGGGGGTGTTTTTGCTTTCCTGTGACATGCCCCAGGTTGTCCCACAGTGGCTGCTCTGGGTGGCACTACCTGAACATATTTACATGATTGCAGAGCCAAAGTAGCTGTGTGCACGTCTGCCACCGGCCTGTGCTTCTGCTGAGCCTCTGCTCATTTACCCATAGCTCCCTGCTCATGACAGCTCCTCGTTGTTCTGTCCTGGGGACTGTAGAGAGGGAACACTACAGAGCAGAGCCAGGGAGGATGGCCAAACTACCACACTTCACGTGAAGGTAGAGAATGGGACTCAGAAGCATTCCTCATAGAGCGATGATTAAAAGCTATTGGGTCAAATCCTGGTTCCACTGAAGCCGATAGCAAAACTCCCCAGATTACTTCAATTGGCCAAGATTTCACCCGTTGTCTACACAGCAGATTCCACTTCCAGGTCAGATGGAGGAGTGCTGAGACAAGCCACTGGCCAAACCAGTTACTGTATGCCTGGTTTCACTGCAGAAAGATTGCCCCATTCCAAATGCCACGCCTATTTGTTTAAACTAGGATAAAAAACTGGACAGCCCGATCACTACCTTTTCATCAGCTCACACTAAACAGCTGGGATATTTAGAATCCACTTGATCTTTTTAATTAAAGTTACATTTGAGTAACACACAAAGTGGAGTGGCCTCTTACCATCAGGTTAGTAGCTAACGGGGCTGTAACTGCCCTGGTTACAGTGCAACAACTTGGGTTACAGGAGCTTGTAACTCAGCCTTCAAGTTCACTTGAGGCAGAAGCAAACAAGCCTTTGTAACTCTAAATTCCTTATCCTAGGCCAAGGAAGCTGCCTCCAATAGTGCTGCAGAGCCCAATCCGTACGAGCTTCCACTTCTCTGCCAGCTAGGTGAATGTTGTTCTGGAGGCCACAGATCATTTTCACCTTACTGCCCAGGTTCAGAGGGCGGCGCCCAGCTGTCAGCAGCAGCAGAGAGGGGTCTGAAAGGCTGATCTCATGTGCCTACCCTAAAAGCTCAGATGTCAGGCCAAATACACACTATTTACAAGGGTGCATTCTGCCTCTATACATCCTCTGATATCCACTGGTCTACAATTTTTGAGAAGTCGTCTGCTTCAGAGATAAAATGTGCTATTTATTATGTATTTTGATGTGCGGAATTCAAATATGACAATTAAAACAACTGATTGGCTAATGTTTAAGATATTTAAGTTTTTACATTTTAGGTCTATGTATATTGTGTAGATAGAGTTTTAATCATAAATTGTAAACCCAGGTCTTTTCATGTGTTTATGGTTGCTTTACAGGATAATATTTCACCTGTCCTGTTTATGTAACACTTTAAAAATCAGCAAAAGGGTTATATAAATAAAATTTATTATGAAACAAAAAGGCAAAAAACTATTACGTACATAGTTTAGTCCTATTCAGAGTCTACTCGGCGCTTCTTGGCTTGTCTCTTGTATTCATTAAATGGAGCATCTCTTGTCACTGTCCAGCAGTAGTCTGCAAGCATTGATGGGCTCCATTTGCCCTGATAGCGTTTCTCCATTGTTGCAATGTCCTGGTGAAATCGCTCGCCGTGCTCGTCGCTCACTGCTCTGCAGTTCGGTGGGAAAAAAATCTAGATGAGAGTGCAAAAAATGTATCTTTAGTGACATGTTGCAACCAAGGCTTTTGTATGCCTTGAGGAGGTTTTCCATCAACAACCTGTAGTTGTCTACCTTGTTGTTTCCGAGAAAATTTATTGCCACTAACTGGAAGGCTTTCCATGCCGTCTTTTCCTTGCCACGCAGTGCATGGTCAAATGCATCATCTCAAAGAAGTTCACGAATCTGAGGACCAACAAAGACACCTTCCTTTATCTTAGCTTCACTTAACCTTGGAAATTTTCCACGGAGGTACTTGAAAGCTGCTTGTGTTTTGTCAATAGCCTTGACAGAGTTCTTCATCAGACCCAGCTTGATGTGTAAGGGTGGTAACAAAATCTTCCTTGATTCAACAAGTGGTGGATGCTGAACACTTTTCCTCCCAGGCTCCAATGACTGTCGGAGTGGCCAATCTTTCTTGATGTAGTGGGAATCTCTTGCACGACTATCCCATTCGCAGAGAAAACAGCAGTACTTTGTGTATCCAGTCTGCAGACCAAGCAAGAGAGCAACAACCTTCAAATCGTCACAAAGCTGCCACTGATGTTGGTCATAGTTCATGCACCTCAAAAGTTGTTTCATGTTGTCACAGGTTTCCTTCATATGGACTGCATGACCAACTGGAATTGATGGCAAAACATTGCCATTATGCAGTAAAACAGCTTTAAGACTCGTCTTCGATGAATCAATGAACAGTCTCCACTCATCTGGATCGTGAACGATGTTGAGGGCTGCCATCACACCATCGATGTTGTTGCAGGCTACAAGATCACCTTCCATGAAGAAGAATGGGACAAGATCCTTTTGACGGTCACGGAACATGGAAACCACTGCAGTAGTCTGGAGCCCAACAGCTCTGCCTTACTCTTGGGTAGTTCCAAATCCCTGACAAGGTCATTCAGTTCACCTTGTGTTATGAGGTGTGGTTCAGAGGAGGAGGATGGGAGAAAATGTGGGTCCTGTGACATTGATGGTTCAGGACCAGAAGTTTCATCCTCTTCCTCGTCTGACTCAAGTGAGAATGATTCTGGTGCATCAGGAACCGGCAGTCCTTCTCCGTGGGTACTGGGCGTATACCTGATGGAATGTTTGGATAATGCACAGTCCACTTTTTCTTCTTTGACACGCCTTTCCCAACTGGAGGCACCATGCAGAAGTAACAATTGCTGGTATGATCTGTTGGCTCTCTCCAAATCATTGGCACTGCAAAAGGCATAGATTTCCTTTTCCTGTTCAACCACTGGCGAAGATTTGTTGCACAAGTGTTGCAGCATATGTGTGGGGCCCACCTCTTGTCCTGATCTCCAATTTTGCAGCCAAAATAAAGGTGATAGGCTTTCTTAACCATAGTGGTTATACTGCACTTTTGTGATGCAAAAGTCACTTCACCACAAACATAGCAGAAGTTATCTGCACCGTTCACACAAGTACGAGGCATTTCTGCTCACTTTGGCTAAACAGAAATGTGTCCCTTTGCAAAATCAAACACTGACAAATAAGAGAGCACGACATTGTATGATTTCTAGAGCTGATATAGGGCAATTTGTTCAGCAGAGTGATGTAAGCTTCGTTATGATTGCATCATCCATGACTTCTAGGAATAACATGATGCAATTCATATCATGTATGACGCAATACCAGCTTCAGATTGCATCATTCATTGTTTTGCCTAAAAAGCAAGTACTGTCCAAACCCAGTCAGATTTATTCATAGATCTAGTCAAAGAGGTATTTTAGTCATTTCTGGTTTAAATTGAGATCCCTTCCCTTTATAACTCACTTATCCTCCGCCATTCCCAAGTCAAGGGTCGTATATACTGACCCAATAGCATATCTTGAAAACTAGAGCCAATCAACAATTTTAAGCATCATTTTCGTTCTTAGTGACCCAGAATTAGTAAAGTTTGACTACATTTATTTCAGAAGCATTTTGGCTGTAGAGCAGTGTATCACGAACTCCTTTACGCAAAGCTAGAGAACACTTGGGGTGGGGGTTGGGGGGCTGGTTCTCCTAGGAGCAAGAGGGACAAGGGAGCAGGCTGTGGCACTAGGGCTTACCCGATCTTCTTGCTCAGCCTGCAGTTCCTTCACTCGCTCCAGCAGCCCGGCCTTCGCGCGGTCCAAGTTTGCAGCAAGCCCAGTGATACTGATGACATCAGACCGAAGCTCAGGGGCAGGGACTTGTATGTTCACCTAAATGACAAACACCTGTGGTTACTTTGGGCCAATGGACCCACACTTCAGCCAGTCCACACGCCACCGCTTCACTACTGGGGGAAGAACCTGAGGTTGCAGCATCACTGCCACGGCCACCACCACCAAAGCAAACTTAATTCATCACTGTGTGACTAGTTCTTGACTGTGCAATTGGTATGTGGTAGCTCTTGCACCAAACTAGGGAGGTTTGGGAAAGGGAAAGGTTTGAGCAGCACAGCCCTGTGGCTACCAGTACACATAGGAATGGCCAGTCTGGGTCAAGACACAAGTCCACCTAGTCCAGTATCCTGTCTGACAGTGGCTAGTACCAGTTGCTTCAGAAGAGCCCTGCAATAGGCAGATGTGGAATAACCTGCCTCCAGGGCATCAGCCAGGAGGCTGCAGAAATCAAACACTGGTGCCAGTTTATTCCAGGTGAATTGTAACTGCATCTCATGGACTTTAATGCCAGAAGGGACCATCATGATCATCTAGTCTGACCTCCTGCACATTGCAGGCCACGGAACCTCACCCACCCACTCCTGTAATCAGGGTGGATTTGATTTAAAATCAAATTGATTTAAATCACGGTTTAAGTCACTAGTCAGGAAGACTCAATTTAATCATGGATTTCTACATAAAAGTGCATTCTTGTTGGTTGTTATAACCTTAATACATATTCTTCACAACTCAGATAGATGTAGGTTTCGTTTTTAGAAGGTACACACTATACATTTAAGTGATTTATTTTTAAAAACTTTTCAGATTAGTTTTACAGCTATATCAGAAAATGAATGATAGTTTGGTTATTCCAGTTACCAAAGGTAACTGAAGCAGATATTTATGAAGTCATTGGGAGGTGAACTATCGACAATTCAACAGGTTAATCATTAATATTTGGAGGATTTTCTTGCCATGCTGTATTAGGAGGAGAAAGTCACCAGACATTTAAATTGTTTTATTTAATTAAAACAACGTTATGTATTCTGGATCTTTTTCTTCAACAGCAAACATAATATTTTAACAAAACAAGCATATGCATTTTTGAATTTAGTTAAACATTCAAGTTTTTTAAAATCAGGTCTGTTTTTGTTAAAATTGTTTTTAACTAAAATAGTTAAATTAAATGTTTTTTTAAAAGAAAACAAAAAAGTTAAATCAACTATGTCAGCCAGCTCAACATGAGAAACTTAAAATATTGGCTTCTGCAGCTAACTCAGTCGTCTTCACCTTCATTTTCCTGTTTGTTCATAATCTGGAAAAGAAAAACAAGCTTTCCTACTTTTTCAGGTCCCAAACGATTTCTCAATTTGGAATGAATTAGTCCAAAGGAAGAAAATATTCTTTCTACACCAGCAGAAGAAGCTACTGCTGTTAAAAGTGAGATCACTTCAGTCTCTGAATCCAAGTGCTTAAGTCACTGGTGTGACTCTTTAAATCATCAGCAAACATATTTCTTGAATGGTTCACCCTTAGCTCTGAAGTTTATTATAGTTGGCATTATGGAGGGATGATTGCTGGATATCCATGTTATAGCCAACTCCTCTTCTCCAGCAGTTAAGGTTTGACCCAGGTACCGAGTATTGAGAATATTTGCAAGAAAATGAGCTGGAGATAGTGCTTGTCCCATTCGTTTTTTTAATGCTTGTAATTTAACTCTACCATTGCAGATTTCTCTTTTTAAGATCTTACTCAGTTCCTTCCACGTTTCAACAGCATCAGCAATAAAACAGCTATTTCCCTGAATTTTGTTCAAGGCTACAGAAATAGGCTTCAGGGTACTCAGCATGTGTTCCAACATTTCTCTTAAGCCCAATGTTGAGAACTTTAGCTGGGACACTGCCATCTATTTTTTCACGATTTTGTTCACAAACAAACAGTCATCAGATTAGGCCAGTTCTTGATATAGTGCTCAAAACAGTCCACTACTGTGTTCCATCGTACCTCTTGTGGGAGAGGTAGCTTGGTTCCTCCCACTTTTTTCAGAGTAGCTGCTGCAAAGTGGTTGTTACAGAAGTATTTTGTGATTTCAACAACAACATTAGCCTTTATTTCTGGAACACTGAAGTCTTTGGCTAGGAAGTGCATCAAATGAGTACTGCAACTGTATGTTTATTAGTTTGGGACTCTCTCCACTCTTTTAAATTTCTTCTCATCTTGGATACATTTGCAGCATTATCTGTGACCAAGCTGCATACTAGACATTTGAATTTTTTCCCCTAGTTTGTTACAGTTTTCACTGCTACTTCTTGTAAGTATTCTGCTGTCTGTGCATTTCCTGATGTATCAATTGTTTCTGAAAGGAAGACATTCCCTTCTTCTGTTGTCACACAAGCACATACAACAGGATCATTGTGGACATTGCTCCATCCATCAAGCTTCCGGTTAATAATTTCACCCTCTAGACCTTTTGCACACTGCTCAATTTCTCTTTCATACTCTTTATCCAGCAATTTGTCTGTGACGTCTGCTCTGTTGGATGGACTGTATCCGGACCTAATGACTGAACCATGTTAATGAAGTGTGGGTTCTCAATCATATGGAAAGGAGAGTTTGTTGCATAAACAAACCGGGCAAATTTCTCATCTATTACCTCTTTTTGTAATCTGCTGGTTCTTAACACAAACTTATCTATGGTTGTTTCTGGACGATGGAGATTTCCCCCCCTGCCCCCTTTTTGCTACAGGTGATATACTGTGGCTATGTGACATACATGATGTGACTGAAACACTATCATTGGCAGATAACTCTGAAACTATAGAAAACGATGGTGATCTTGAAGGTGGATAGTCTTCAGAATCCTGTATGTTGAGGATGGATTCTCCTAAACAAAATAAGTCAATGAAGTTATTTAATTATTAATTATTATTATTACCATACTGCTCATTTAGTATTACTCATTGCATTCACCATTCACTCAGTACTACTTTATAAGGTGAAATTGTAAAAGGAAGATCTGCCTATTTCAGTTATTTTTTAATCACAACTGCATCTAAAATGATAGTACCATAAAGTAACAACTATATTTTTTGCTCAAACATGAGAATTCAAGAATAGTCCAGAAGGAAGACAGGCAGTCCTAAAGAAAGAAGTATGAAATAAAAGTTGACCAACCTGAAGATCCTGCATGTTCAGACATGTTTCTTTCATCATCTTCAATGCAGCTTCCTCCTGAGAAGGAATACTTCTCATGATGTTGTTTCATTCAGGCAACCAGGCCTTGCATTTCTTTGTTGCACTGTCTGCATTTTGCACACATGCCTGTCTTACCCACAGGTAGAGGAACTTTATTAAAATATTCCCAAACTGGGTCTCTTTTACAGCCTGCTGCCATTATAGGTTTTCCCTTCTAGTGAGAGAATGGTATGGTAGATCTCAAATCAATGAAGGCTACACTCAGAAAGACCTCAAGACTTCTGGAATATGCTGCTCAAACAGTTTCACTTGTGTTTCTACTGCCTGTCCCTCCCTTCTCACATTTATCTCCAGACTTCTTCTCCTTTTGTCCAGATCTATTCCACCCCCAACAATCTTCTATCCATTGAACTTTTTGAAACTTTGCACTTTTAGAGAGGTAAGGGATTGACTGTGTACACAAATTTGCAGAGGGACAATAGGGTTGAGGTCTGTTATTTCTCACCTCTATATTATTTATTTATTTAAAAAACATTTTTTGCTGTTAACAAGCATGTTATCTCTAGAGAGACAAATCCACAGTTTGAGAAGTGCAAAACTAAGCATCTCTCATGGTAACTTCTAGACTGAGCACTGAGTCCCATTGGGTAGATAGAAAAAGATTAACCTAAATAATCTATACAGAAGCCTCTGGAACCCCATAAGATTGGGTCCCTAATCTGTGAACTATTGGAACTCATTTACAAAACTTTTATTATACATTACATGAATATATTGTCATACTACAGAATTAGAATTTATAATCCCTATTCCATGATGAGATCTCTTTGAACTATAATGTATCAGTTTTTTTCCTCAAAAAGAATTTTATCAAAAAAAAAAAAAAAAAAATCCGATTTAAATAAAAAACAAAACAAAACACCAGATTTTTGATTTAAAAAACAAAAACAAAATCATTGATTTTTATCCACCCTGCCTCTGGCTGAGTTACTGAAGTCCTCAAATTATGGTTTAAAGCAGGGGTGGGCAAACTTTTTGGCCCGAGGGCCACATGGGGGTTGCAAAACTGTATGGAGGGCCAGGGAGGGAAGGCTGTGCCTCCTCAAACAGCCTGGCCCCCACCCCCTTCCACTTCCCACCCCCTGACTAACCCCCTCAGAACCCCCGACCCACCCAACCACCCCCTCCCGGGACCCCACACCCAACCCCCCTGCTCCCAGTCCCGACTGCCCCGACACCTGACCAGCCCCCCGGACTCCCACGCTTATACAACACCCTGTTCCCCGTCCCAACTGCCCCCCCCCAAACCTCCACCCCATCCAACCGCACCCTGCTCCCTGACTGCCCTCTGGGACCCCCCCAGCCCGCTTACCATGCCGCTCAGAGCAGCATGTCTGGCAGCTGCGCCGCCCGGCCAAAGCTAGACATGCTGCCGCTCCGCAGCGCTGCCCATGCGGCGGCATGGCTGCAGGGGGAAGAGGGAACAGCAAGGGAGGGACCGGGGGCTAGCCTCCCTGGCCGGGAGCTCAAGGGACGGGCAGGGCAGGACCGTCCTGGAGGACAGATGTGGCCCGCTTGCCGTAGTTTACCCACCTCTAGTTTAAAGACTTCAAGTTACAGAGAATCCACCATTTACACTAGTTTAAATCTGCAAGTGACCCATGCCCCAAGGCTGCAGAGAAAGGCGCAAAAAAGAGAACACAACAAACCACTAGAACACAAACAGGGTCTCTGCCAATCTGACCTGGGGGAAAATTCCATCTGGACCCCAAATATAGCAATCAGTTAGACTCTGAGCATGTGGGAAAGACCCACCAGGCAGATACTTGAGAAAGAATTCTCTGTAGTAACTCAGAGCCCTTCCCATCTAGTGTCCTGTTTCTGGCCACTGGGGATTTTTGCTACTACCTTCTTTCCCCGAAAGTAAGACATCCCCCGAAAATAAGACCTACTTCCAGTTTTGCCTCTCGCTGTAATATAAGGCATCCCCCCGAAAATAAGACCTCCCCGATAATAAGGCCACCCCGGAATATAAGGCCCCGAAGCTCCAGGAAAAATAAGACCTCCCCTGAAAATAAGACCTAGCGCATCTTTGGGAGCAAAAATTAATATAAGACACTGTCTTATTTTCGGGGAAACAGGGTAGCAGTCTCTGATAGGCCATATGCCATTGTATGAAATCTCATCACTAGGGTCCTACTAAATTCATGGTCCATTTTGGTCAATTTCAGTGTCACTGGATTTGAAATAAATCATAAATTTCATTATTCCAGCTATTTAACATTTCACAGGGGTGTAATTATAGGGTCCTGACCTAAAAAGGAGTTGGGAGGGCACCCCACAAGGTTATTGTGTGGGGGTTGCGATACTGCTACCGTTACTTCTGCACTGCTTCTGGCGGCGGCACTGCCTTCAGAGTTCGGCAGCTAGAGAGCAGTGGTTGCTGGCCGGGAGCCCAGCTCTGAAGGCAGTGCCGCCACCAGCAGCTGCGCAGAAAGATGGCATAGGATGGCCAGGTTGGTCTGGCATGATCTACCTTTTGTAAATCCATGTTATATTTTATCCCAATCACCTTTCACTTTTATGTCCTAAACTACTTTCTCTTTCAAAATTTGACACAGAAAGATGGTGACATTTCGGAGTGATTCTGTTCAGAACTTCAGTGCATAGCCCATTCCTCCCACTCCTGGGGGAAGGGGAGGAGGGATCAAATACTAGACTCGTGTTCTTATTGCCGCTTCCTAGTGGCTGAATCAAACAAACACTACTTGTCCAGTACCTGCCATACCAGTGGCACACTAGTGACTGCTGGGGCCATGGATTTGGCCATATTCCTGGCACTCCCGCATTCACAGCAATAGGATCTCTGGGATCCAGGGAAGGGAGGGAGACAAAACCCAGCTTACTTCAAACTCGTCCATCATTTTGCGGATTCCACTTCCTTTCTGACCAATGATGTAACGGTGAAGGTCAAAGGGCACTTCCACCTCAGTGGTGACAGGAACCAGAGCCTACATGGGGGGAGGAAGAGCACAGAGTTTACCCAGCAGAAACACTCTGCAGAGTCAAGGGCCAGGTTTCATAGAATCATAGAATATCAGGGTTGGAAGGGACCTCGGGAGGTCATCTAGTCCAAACCCCTGCTCAAAGTAGGACCAATCCCCAACGAAATCATCCCAGCCAGGGCTTTGTCAAGCCTGACCGTAACAACCTCTAAGGAAGGAGATTCCACCACCTCCCTAGGTAACACATTCTAGTGCTTCACCACCCTCCTATTGAAAAAGTTTTTCCTAATATCCAAGGTCAGTTTCTCCCAAAGCCTTTTGAATGACAGCCCTGCTGTGCTTTAGATTAGCCACACCTGTCCTGAAAGGAAGAAAGATCTGGCACTTCCTGAATCCTGCAGAGTTTAATACATTTGATCAAAAGATAAAAAAAAAGCCAGTGATTAGGAAAGAGACCAGGGAGTCTTCATGGGTAGGTCAAGAAGAAAGCCTAACAGCAGCAGTGAAAGCTATGAGAATGCACTGGATACTATGAATTAACAATGGTGCCTCCTCTGGAGTACAGTGTCTCATTTTCATAGCCTCACCTTAAAATATAGTGGAGGCTGAAAAGGCCCAGAAAGTCATTAGATTAAGGATGGAAACACTTAGGTCTGGTCTCCATTAGAGTTAGGATAACTCAAGGCAGCGTATGTCGACCTAACTGTGGAAGTGTCTATACTTAAATTTTGCTCTCACCAATGTAATTGCCCCGCTATGCCAACTTAGCTCCAGCTCCATGAGTGTCAGAGTTAATATAGTTAGGTCAATGCAGTGTCAGTATAGACCCTGTAGTGCTTTTGTCAACAGTTACTGGCTTTCAGGAGCAGTCCCACAATGCCCCACACTGACAGTACAATTGATACAAGCACTGCTAGTGAGGACACACCGCTGACACAAGAAGCAAAGTGTAGACATGTAATTACTGTGGCAGCTGTATGCCAACCTAAGTTAGGTCGACTTAATTTTGCCGTCGAGACATGGCCTTAGCGATGATGAGAACTTGCCAAGGCTGGAACTAGTCAGCCTGGAAAAGGTTTGAAGTGACTTTATTGAGGAACGATACAGAAAACACTGATTGCTCTTGTATTATGGGGGAGGATTGAAAGGACAAGTCTTATGCATAAGCAACTCCCACTACTGCTTGGAGCCTTTAACACCTAAGGGGCTAGGTCAATTCACACCCACCCTGCAAGTCATTAAATGGCAGGAAGTTTAGCTGCAATAAAGGGAACCCCTTTCCTTTAGGCTACATAATCTACCTATGCCCCAGGAGGACACCAACTTGAGCAGGGCCACCTGGTACCAGAGCCCAGAGAATTCAAAAGAGCCTCCTGCTGCAGGGCACAAGCAGATTACAAGAGCCTGGAGAGTCCTGCTGAGACCCAGCAGCACCACATACCTGCAGCGCCTCTTTGGCTGCCTCACATTTTTCTCTGCGGCCAGAAATGATGATAATGTCGCACTTCTTTGGGGAAGTGGGATCAGTTTCCTTAGCTTCTTTTCCTTCCCCACTTTCCTCTCCATTCTCCTGCATGGCTGGTTCTGTGGCAGGGGCTGAGATCATGGAAACAGAATAAGAATCTTCTCAGCGAGTACAGAATTGAGTTTCTGTAAGTGGTATTACTCCCACAGAGATCGTACCAACCCTCCACCTTGCACAGCAGGACCCCAAGGCACACAGGGAGGGCGACAGACATTCACCATAAAGAAAGTGAGATTTTAATAGCATTTCATTAGTACTAGAGGTTACCTACCATCAGTGCTAACTCTGCCTTGGCTCCATCCTGGATTGTATAGAGTCCACTATTATGCGCTGCTCTGTACATAGGAGAACAGCCTCTCTCCAGCCCAAGAAAGAATTCCTCTTATTGCTCCTTCTGCATGGCACCCTCTGCTTACCCAGCAGCAGCAGATTATTGTAATAAGCATTATACATAGTCCAGCATTACTGTCTGAGAACCCACATTCCCAGTTGCTTTTCTTTCAGTGCACAGAAGTGCACAGACCCAGAATATTTCATATTAAAAGCAGCATATTCTACATCAGTCAGGACTGTTGTCTAGTTTCATGCTCTGTTCACCACCTCCAAGTGATCTCCCCCTCTCTCAGCCCTCCCCCACACCTTATTTAACATGTGCAGTTAAACTTAAGGCAGACAGGAATCAATGAGCCTTGCTGTGTGTGGGGTATACATTAGAGACCAAACTTGGCAATATGTAGTGGAGCAAACAAGCCATTCTCCTTTCACTTGGGGGAGTGGGAGGGGGTAAGGAGAGGTGGTTTGTTTAAAAGTTCTCCATTTCCAGAAGAGTTTAAAAGGTAAAAGACTAAGTTTATAGAACCTCTACTGCTGTTTGTTGTACACCAAACAATAGCTCTCTCCTGCCATTGCAGTTAGGCTCCTTTAAGAACCAGGCCAAAGAAGACAGAAGCAAAAGGACAGCAGTTCTAGTCCATATTGAGAACGAGATGCTGTCATGGTTGCCCGTTTTAGTATTAGGCTTGGAGGAAGGCTAAGGACTGCACAGCTCAAAGCAGCAGTGTCCACTGGCAAGGCTCCCTCCTGCCCACATCGCCCCTCTACAGGGAGGGACTTAAACTGCATGACTTGGATTCCCTCTGAAGCAGCAGCACAACCCCCAGCCATCTGGGTAGCTCAGAGCACCCCCGCAACACTGAAGTAGGGAACAGCCACTCTTACAGCCTCAGCTTCCAGTGAAGTAGAGTTCTCAAAGCATCATACCTGGGTTCTCCTCCCTGTCGGGGAATTTGATCTGAACACCATAGTCGCGGGTGATCTGCTGAATTCGGGAACCTTTGGGGCCCATGATGGAGCGGTGAAACTTCTGGGGGATGGTGCACTCTATTGTCACCTGAGCTTCCTGCATGTTTGACAGAGAATGCAGGTGAATTAGTCAGGTGACACCTGTTGTCACGCACTCCCTCCCACTTGATCAAAATGCGATTCTCAAAGATTTGTCATCATAGCAAGTTCATAGAGTCATGTGTGTCATAGGCAGGAAGGGAGCAGGGTGGAGGCAAAAGGTTGTGACTAGTGCTGTCAAGCACACTTAATAGAATACCTTTTATTTAAATATTTTCGGATGTTTTCTACATTTTCAAATATATTGATTTCAGTTACAACACAGAATACTAAGTGTACAGTGCTCACTTTATATTTATTTTTGATTACAAGTGTTTGCACTGTAAAAAGACAAGAAATAGTATTTCAATTCACCTAATACGAGTACTGTAATGCAATCTCTAGTATGAAAGTTGAACTTACAAATATAGAAGTATGTACAAAAATACTGCATTAAAAAAAGGTAAAATTTTAGAGCTTGCAAGTCCACTCAGTCCTACTTCTTGTTCAGCCAATCATTCAGACAAACAAGTTTGTTTACATTTACAGGAGATATTGCTGCCTGCTTCTTGTTTACAATGTTACCTGAAAGTGAGGACAGGTATTCTCATGGCCCTGTTGTAACCGGACTGGCAAGATATTTATGTGCCAGATGCGCATGCGTCAACTACCATTCCAGGGGGCATGCATCCATGTTGATGACGGGGTTTGCTTGAAAACCATCCAAAGCCGTGCGGACAGACGCATGTTCATTATCTGAATCAGATGCCACCAGCAGAAGATTGATTCTTTTTTGGTGGTTCAGGTTCTGTAGTTTCCGCATCGGAGCGTTGCTCTTTTAAGACTTCTGAAAGCATGCTCCATACCTAGTCCTGCTCAGATTTTGGAAGGCACTTCAGATTCTTAAATCTTGGGTCGAGTGCTGTAGCTATCTTTACAAATCTCACATTGGTACCTTCTTTGCAAATTTGGCAAATCTGCAGTGAAAGTGTCCTTAAAATGAAAACGTGCAGGGTCATCATCCGAGACTGCTAGAACATGAAATATATGGCAGAATGAGGGTAAAACAGATCAGGGGACATACAATTCTTCCCCAAGGAGTTCAGTCACAAATTTAATTAACTAATTTTTTTTTAAACAAGTGTCATCAGCATGGAAGCACGTCCGCTCAAATGGTGGCCGAAGCATGAAGGGGCATACAAACGTTTAGCATCTCTGCCATGCAAATGGCTGTTCTTATTTACGTCACCAGAAACTGAGAAGAGGGCAGCATTATCTCCTGAAAATGTAAACAAACTTGTTTGTCTGAATGATTGGCTGAACAAGAATTAGGACTGAGTGGACTCGTAGCTTCTGAAGTTTTACATTGTTTTGTTTGAGTGCAATTATGCAACAACAAAAATAAAAAAAATAAAATCACATTTGTAAGTTGCACTTTCAGGACAAAGATTGCACTACAGTACTTGTATGAGGTGAACTGAAAAATACTATTTCTTCTGTTTATCATTTTTACAGTGCAAATATTTGTAATCAATATACATACTTTGATTTCAATTACAACACAGAATACAAGATATATGAAAAATGCAGAAAAACATCCAAAATATTTAATAAATTTCAATTGGTAATCTTTTGTTTAACAGTGTGATTAAAACTGCAATTAGTCATGATTTTTTTTAGTTAATCGTGAGTTAACTGCGATTAATCGACAGCCCTAGTTGGGACAGAGCAACAATTATTCTGTCCAATACATTTCCAGAATCCCTTGTACCTCCGCGTCCAAGAAACAAAAGACAGCCTGTCCTCCAAAAGCTACCCCACACCTGACTAAGGGCCACAGACCAGAACTCCATTCCCATGTGCACACCTCTCCTTCACGAGGCTCTTCAGGGGGAGGGAGGGAGGCTGGGGAACAGCTTGTTTTGGAGGCAAGGACAAGAGCACAGGTACTTAACCGCTGGTGAGTTGTAAGAGCCAGCCTTGGGAGGACTGGCTCCAATTTTTGAGCCAGGAACCCCAAAGTTAGCACCCATTGCCTGAAGTGCTCTGTGCATCATCTCCCAGATCGGTATGTGTCAGAGTCAGGAGCAAGTGAAAGCTACTCTTTAATAAGACAGTGTTGAAAGTACAGCTCACTTCCCCCAGAAGACACAAAAGGGCTGAACAGAGCAAGCCAGAAAGATACCTAGAAGAGAATTAGGACCCCTAACCACCACCCTTCTGCTCCTACAATGAGAGGGGAGGCAGGGACCTTGAGCGGAGAAGGACTCATAGGCATTAAGGAATTGAAGTGCACAGGAAACACAGCAGAGTCTTGGCCGAGAAGAAACTGCCAACCCAAACAGCTGGCTAAGGGAAGGCCAAAAGGGGATGTATATCTCCTCCCAGCCAGGCCGCTGGGGAGGCCAGGTACCTTTCCTAGGCTAGGATCTAATTAGGGGGTTACCCTGGAGATTCCTAGGTTTTGACCCAGGCTCAGAGTGTCAGATACACTATGGCAGGTCACATGGGCCCCAGGTTCCTCAGGTCAGAGACTGGGCAAAAACAGGACCCTCCACATTACATGGAGCAGGGGATTTTTTGGGGAAGGAGGGGTGGTACAGAAAAGGGACTTGTGATACATGCAAGAAATAGAGTGGCTGCTTCTTAATAAAACAAGCCTGCTGGGACACACACCAGGTCCTCAATGATCTCCAGGATGCGTTTCTTGGCTGCCTCCACACAGTCCTTTGCTCCCTTGAGGGTGACCTTGTCACTCTGGGTGCCAGAGCGGGGGAAACTGACCATCACACCACCGTATTCATCAGCAATCTCACGGAGAACCTGCCCTCTCCGGATTACAAAGTGTCGGTGGTGCTTGGGGTCCACCACCATGAAGTCCTCAACCACATTATCCTGCGGAGAGGAGACATTACACAGTGGTGTTTATTCATTGCACTCTACTTCTGGATTAAAAAATGCCTTCCATAGCTCACAACATGGGACACTCCTCTACACTGCACACAACCCACTTCTCTAATGATAAACATGCATATCTTAATTCTTGAGCTCCTACCAGGGCCTCTCAAATAGACATGTCATCCATATCCAGGGCCAAGCAGTTCCTCCCAACTGACAGGTTAGCACCTGCTACCACCTATGCTGCAGAGAAACGCACATGGGAAGTGTGGATAGAAAGACGGAAGTGAATGGAGGAAGCCTCCCTCACCAGGTTCTTGATGAGTGCCTCCAACTCCTTCTGAGCCTCCTTGACAGCCCCCTCGGTCCCCATGATGGTAATCAGCTCCTGGTCTTTGTCTTCAGAGGTTGGGAAGATGATGCGGGCCCCCGTGTTATCACGCACCTTGCGGATATTGCCACCACCTTTGCCAATCAGGAATTTGTGATACTCTGGCTTGGCACGAAGGTCCACTGTGTAACTTTTAGTTTGCTAATGGAGGTCAGCCCCCCCCCCAGAGAACAAAGCACAAATGAGTACTCAAGAGTACATGCAAACACAATTATTTCACCATCAGAATATATGGAGAAACTTCTGGAATAAATCTGTGTACATGCACATTTGGCTAAGCATGACTAGTGTCACAGCCTAGAAATCCAATCTTTCAAAGTAAAAGCAAACTAGAAGCATTCTGGTATCTGCAAGATCAGAGATGTTACTTCATGTTCTCCAGGCACCAGAATGTTTGCACCATGAGAACTTGCATTTGGGAGGATGTCACCTTACTGGATTGCGTTGTGGCATATCGGAAGTAAGAATGCAGCAGGATTAAAATAGTACTGAAAGCAGACGGGAGCAGGACCAAGTGAGCCAGAGAACTGCTCATTCACAAGATGGGCCAAACCCATACCAGGATAAACCAGTGTCACGCCACTGGCCAGCTACGCAGGCTTACCGCAGCTGTGAGAGTCTGGCCCATAACATGCCATTTCCAGGAAAGTTTTGTTAATAAATAAAGTGGCCAGTCATGCATCTTAGAGTAACGTCCTGTCACTTGAGACCCTAATTACATCTAATTATATCAAGGGATGTGAAAAAATAATGCCACTCATTTGGAATCTGCAGGCATGGGCTAAGGCCAGATAGGAGGGAGGAGTGAAGGAAAGTTGCCTCTCTCGGAGTTTAACTAACTCCAGTCACACACCAGTGTGTTTCAGTTCCAAGTGGGGTGAGGGTGTGGGGGGTGGAAGAGGACAATGTTTCTGCTCCTTCATCCTGACCCAAAGAGGCATTTGAGCAAAGGGCAAATCAAACAAAGGGGTTAAGTCACTTTGCTGGCAAAGCAGCTAGTTCTTTTACTAACTGGAAAACCACCAGGATTAGGGCCTCTTGTCCTAGGAGTGGTGGTACCAGTGTTCCGACTGCGTTTACAGTACGAGTATAGTGACCCAAAAAAGACAGGGCCCCCCTTATATGGTCCACCCCACCCAGCACCTCTTTGTGGTAAGGCACACAGAGGGGGATTGATCACACATTAAGAGGGAAGAGACTGGTTGGATCTGATCCTTCTACCTATTCGCAGGGCTCACCTTCTCCTCTGCCAGGTGCAGCAGCTGTTTCTTGGCCTTCTCCACATCCTGAGCAGGGCCTCTGATGGTGACGGTATCACTGCCAGAGCCCTCTGTGGGAAAGTGGATGTGGACCCCACCACACTCCTCCATGATCGAGCGAATGAAGCGTCCTTTGGCACCGATGAGGGAGTTGTGGAGCTTTGAGGGGATGGAGACCTCAACCTCTGTGATGTCAGCCTAGGAGAAGAAGCCAGGGCATTAAGGTTGGATTGTATGGCAAGCTGTTGGGAGGAGACTGTTGAGGTAAGGGGGAAGCAGACCCAGGCAGTCTGTTCCTCTTCTGCTGATATCAGAATACTGAGATTATTGGGGATTTCAGTACTGGGAGATGACCACACAACCGCTTATTAAAAAGCAAATCTGAGCAGAGGATTTGGGATATCTGCCAAGCAGCAGCTGGATGTGCCAGCACATGCCAGTCTCCCAGCACAATAATGGGCACTGGGAAAAAGTATTACCCCCCTCCCTCCCATGGCATGGTTACCATTTGGGCACAAAGAAGAGTTTTAGTAGATGATGCTTCTTTCAGAAGAGAAATGAATAATGTATATTCAAAAAGATTCTGGTCAGAAGTACTGGCTAGATTCATGAAAACCTCCACATGGAGACAAGTGGCTGCAATACATACCACTGGAAATTGTATCCTGGACTTGTCTTTCCTAGATGTTCTCAGGATTAGGCAGGTAGATTTTTTTCCCTACTTTGGTGACCTGACAAAGCTTGCTATGTTTTGAGGACTCCTTTCAATTTGGTGATCCTCAGTTATCTGGGGAGATTGGTCTCAAATTAAAGCAACCTCTGTATTAAACATTTTATTAAGCAGTTCAGTTGCTAGCACTGTTAACAGTCAGAATTTGAACAATGAATTTTTTTTTTTTTTTTTTTTTTTTAAAGTTTCCTTGAGTTCAACTGTCTTTAATATAGGATTTTTAGCATCAGCTCTCAGGATTTGCAACCTAATAAGTTGGATATGGAGGCCTGACTAAAGAAACTGCCAAGACAATTAGGCATAAGACAAGAACCTCTTGGGAAAGGACCGTAAGTATCTTTTGCTGAGACGCTGGGCTCTTTGATCTTAAGCATGCTAACATTCAAGTCATGAACTCAACACATAAGAGACCGGATTCTTTAAGTTTAACTACCTCCTGTATAATTAGTTTGCATCGTTTTTGTGTATTTAAGGTGATGTCATGTCACCTATGTTTTGTCAGGCCTCTGTGCTCCATTTATAACACCTTAAATTAACCAGTTCCTGTTACCAGCTCTTTTTGGATGGAGAGAATTCGGTGGCGAGCAGCTTCACAGTTTGCTCTCTTGCCAGTGATGATGATTGTCTCTGAGTTGCTGTTCTCTGCTGGGAGATCGATCTTGGTGTTGCTTTCTTCACGGATCTGCAATAAGAAACAAATACATGTTTGAGGTTGAGCATGGAGGAGGAAGCTCTGGAAGGTTAAGTTTTACTTCACCACCAAGCAGGTGGGATTGATGAGTGGAAGGTAGCTGAAGGCAGAGAGAACTAAGGAACTTTGTAGAACATTTGAGGGCCAGTAGCAACGTCACCTTTTTGATGTTGGCACCTCCTTTCCCAATGATGTTCTTGTGGAATTGTTTGAAGATGGGAACAGAAATAGAAAAGCTGTTTTCAACCTTACAAAGAGAAAGAATAGAATTAGTTAGCTGAGGAGATGAAGTCACACCAACAAACTTGGTCATGCCTCACCCTTTCTATTTCTGTTAGGATTTCTTAAAACATCTGGAAAAGAGCCTCTGTTTACCATTCTGCCTAGAAGTTGCCTGACTGCTGATGAGAGAAGGTCAGAAAAGTAAATTAACTCAAAACAGACTGAAGCTATGGGTTTGGGAGGTGATCCCCTTCTCACTCAGTTATCCTGGAGCCACTGGAAGAAGAGCTGTCCCTTCATTACTAAACATCAGCACAATGCAGGGGTCTCACCCATCTGCTGTACATTCTAAGGTTTCAGACAAAGCTCAAGTGTGATGTCAGCACAGAGTTATCCTCTGTCCCAAAACTAAAGACTGGGAGGTGGGGAAGACAACACAGGAAGCTCTCATACCAGGTCTGCCACCATCTTCTGCATGTACTTTGTGCATTTTTCCACCTCGTTCTTGGGTCCTCTAAGTTGGACAATGTCGCTCTTGTGTGCTGGGTCTGGGAAGTTGATGATAACCTGCAAGAGGTGGTCACTTAACAGCAGAATCACGTAACATGCAAAGGTGTGATTGGCATAGCACAGCACAATTCCTCTGTCCCAAGAATCAGTAACCCTTCAGTAGAAAGGGTCTTTGTGTTAAAGAACATTCTTGCTAAGGAGGGACAGAGTGACACACAGATTGCAAATTGCAGCTTGCTAGGAGAAGCCTTACCTCTGGGAATTTATCTCGGATTTCCCGGATCCGCTCACCCTTCTGCCCAATGATGGTTCGATGGAATCTCTGCTCAATAATTAGGTCCTTGGTACGTTCGTTTTCCTGAGAACATATAGATGACAATTATGTTTTCATCAGGATGAGTTCCATGCCCTTTATTTACTTCATTTTGCGGGATGGCAATTGATCAGGCAGTCACGTCTTTCAGATAATTCATCTTCTATGCCAGACTAGAGCTATTTTTCCCTAAAGCTGAAAAGTGGACTCAAACACCCATAGACAAACATTAAATTTACTCTGCTTCCGGCAAGAGTACAGCATGGTACACAAGTGCTGGTTGTGGGGAAAGGCCACCTTTGCTCTAATTCCAGAAGTAGTCATAAGAAATGGTATAGACACATGGCCAATGGGGTCTCTGTTAGTCAAAGTCAATTATGTGGTGCTTTCTTGCTCACCATACGTGAAGCAAGTTCCAGCAGCTCCTTCTTGGCCTGGTGGACACCTTGAGGGTCTCCTTCAATTCTGATCAGGTTGCTCTTCTCATTGTCTGGAGGAATACGCACAGACACCTTGTACTGATCTTTGATCCTGTTAACTGCAAGAGAAAGATTTTGCTGAAACACTCGTCCATTCTGTCACACCTACCAGTGCAGGACTGGAAGCTAGGAGAAACAGTTCTCTTATATAGGGATTACCTGAACCCTAGGCCAGCCTCTCCAAGGGGGGGGGGGGGGGGGGGGAAGAGGAGGGGGAGGAGAAGAAGGGAAGGAGAAGAGGGGGATTTTTAAAAAGAGGTGGTGAGGTAAAGCTTTTCCACCTGGGAGCTCAGCAAAAAGCAGGATTGTCTATTGCTCAGTAGAAAAAACTCTCAGCAAGAACCTACAAGAACAGACAGCACAGCGTCTACAGATACAAGGAATGCAGTATCTGCCACTTTTATTCCTGGAACAACAACAACTTGAATCAGATGTTCCTTCTGCAGGCACAAATAGGCATGAACTTAGAGTCTACTCTCCAGGACCATCTTCCCAGATAATTTTTTCTATTAGTTAAACCTTTCCTCTTAAGTTAACTCTCCACCCTGATCTGGAGGGAGGCCTCTCATCTTGGATGAAGAGGTTTCACACCCATCTAATCCTCCAGGACAACTTCAAGAGTTAAAATAAGTCTTGTAGCTTGCGCCTCATCTAATGTTCCTTGAGTGAACAGCCCTTTTGAGAAGCTGCTGATCAGTGTAAAGACAACATGTGATATTAATACGGCCCGTGGAATTTCAGCCACTGTCTAATGAAGATTAAGGAGATGGATAAAATACAGCTGTAAGAGCATATTACATTGCCCATAAAAAGGCATCTCACTCACTATTGGCTCCATTCTTTCCAATGAGGTGTCGGTGGAACTTGTGGTCAACATTGATCTCCACGTAATCCATCCGGTTTATCTGCAAAGAGCAGTGCAGGGTTAGGTAGACTGCAGAGCACTAGTTCTTGCATCTGTTGTCCATAATAATTGAATATCAATGCTAGCCCTTTGACAACTAACCACAAACACTCCTACTGCTGCTGAGTTGAACAGCATCATTAAGTTACTCTGGTCTGTACTAGTAGTGCCCAGTGTGTGAAACACTAAGCCCCCATGCAATCTCACCAGTCCTAAAGTGAAAGCCTTCTCTTGGGCAGCTACCACCACCTGGAAGAGTCTTCTTGTATTGCATCAACACCACTCCATCTCTTAGTAAGTCTTAAGGCAAATTACTGAGAGTCAGAGGATGCTTCATGATGAATGCTTTAATTTCAACTCATTGTATCTGTCTAGACTGCCTGCTTTTTGTCACATCTCTGTCCCCCATCTGGGGGTACAATGTTTATAAAAAAAAGAGGATTTGCAAGCTGGCCCTTGTTTCTTGTTACTGCCATCTCTGCATTCTTCTTACTTTTACAATAGCTCAGAGCCTTACCCCACTGAAGCTACAACATGCCAACTCACCAGATCCTTGACCATGACCTCAATCTGTTCCTGAGCCACATTCACGTCCTCTGTGGGTCCCTCAAGGGTGATTTTATCCTCCCCTTCAGTGAACTCGATATGAACCTTTAAACAAGACAAGGAATGCTGTAAAAGCTTCAAGACGTGCAACCCAGATCAATGCTGCTGGCCATGACAAAGCCATCCATCTCTGCTGCTGAGGGCTGATTTGTTTCCCTCCCACTTGGGGAGCACACAAATTGCATGTTATCCTTTGCTTATTTTTATGAAGGGATGACCACCTATATCAAAGGCCACATGGTTAAGTGTCTAGAGCAGGTGCCCTGGGTTCTACTCCTGACTCCCAGAGTGACTTTGGGCACCTCACTCCACCTATGATCTCCATTTTACCGGGGGGGGGGGGGGGGGGAAATCAGCTTACTGACCCTTTGAAGCCCGTGAATGACAGCACCATACAGAGATGCAATTACTACATCTTGAGGTTGTTTAATAAGAATTGCACAAACTTTCATATGGAGAGTTCAGCCTGTCTTACTGATTATTTGAACCTATATAAAAAAGGAGATATTCTGAAGGGAAAAGTGGTATTACGGATCCCAACTGCAAGAGCATCTTGTAAAGAAGGATGCTCTCTTCTCCATTCCCGTCCATTTCTAGCGACAAGCCTATAGTATTTACCAGAAATCTAGACACCTTTAGAGAGGTTCGGAGAGAGAGGGCAGAGACCATTTCTCTAAGGAAAGGCAGAGGAGTTGAGTGGAGTGGGTGAGGCTGCCATGAACTGTCTATACCTTTGGCATCTGCTGAGTGATTTTGGCCAGATTTTGTCCTTTCTTTCCAATGATGAAACGGTGAAGCCAGGAGGGGGCAGAGACTGAGGAGACGGTGAAGCTGTTAGCCTAGGGGAGAGGAAAGACTATGAACACGAATGACTATGAAGGCCCATCACAACATACCCACCATACAAGGGCTATTGCAGCTTGCATCTCAGCACCAGCCTTGTTAGTACAGAGTTCTCAAGTTAGCTATCCATATACAAGAGCACACTGGAGATGCTCATGGCCTCCAGATGCTTGGGGATCCATTCAAATCTATGCCTTTTAGCCAGAGTAGTGCAGAAAGTTGCTTATGGGGGGGCCCCCCCAATCTAAAAGACATGGCTTGGCAACTTAAGCTGACATGTACTATTTATGCATTACCTTGGCATAGACTTCAGTCAATGCCTGCCCAAGTTTTTCAGGCTCGCCACGCAGTATCACCGTCTCAGAGCTGCTGTCAGTGGGTGGGATCTCGACTGAGACTCCAGTTTTCTCCAAGATCTCCTGCAGGGAATTCCCCTTGGGGCCAATGACATATTTGTGCTGGGACTTTTTCACCTCCACTGCAATGGTCGTAGTCTTTTTTTTCTGTGTGGGGAAGAGGTGTGAGGGCATCAATCACAAGTGGCAGGGAAAGAAAAGGGGGGAAGCCACCAGATACAGTAAAACTCTTTGCCCAGAAAGGAGCAGGATAAGGAAGAAAGAATGAACCAGCTGTAGGGTAATCCAGGACAATTTTTTTTTTTTTTTTTTTTTAAAATATACACGTTGGGCTCTTGCTGGGATCTATGATCAAATCTGGTGCTTATAAGGATTTTCAAATAAAGCATGCCATCTGCTATTAGATTGTAAACTCCCTGGGGCAAGGAGAGCCATATGTGCTTGCACACATGTATATCGTACCTACCTTGATTCCCAATTGTGTTCTCAAGGTGATACCCAGACTGCAATAAGTACATGAGTTATATGATAGGGATTTCAGCAAAGGTAAAGTATTCAGACTCCGCCATGGGGGAGCAGTCCTGCGATTCATAGCTGGAATGTCAATAGCAGCTAATGGAAAGTTAACAGGAGAGACATGTACTCTGCAGCTATCATAACAAGCCAGCTAGTCTCCAAGCCCCATTTGTCCTGAAATTCCTCCTTCCCTCAGTTTTGGGTTTTGTTTTTTTAAAATTTAAATCAGATGCAATTCCTTGTGGCAGGCTGACCACATAAGAAATGTTAAAAGCCGAACATTCAATACCTCATCACACCACAAGACCCACTTTTCTCCAACAGCAGATGGGCAACACAGCTGACCAGATCCAACAGACAAAACTTATGGGAAGGGTATATGGTGGGTAACATAATGTAGGGAGGAAGAGGAGTATATGGTGGGTAACATAATGTAGGGAGGAAGAGGCAGTTATGAATGCGAGAGACTCTCTCTAGAGCACCCATACCTTCTCCTCATAGATCTTCTTAATACGAGCTACAGCTTGGGCCAGCTGCTCCTTTTCACCTGTGAAGACTATCTCGGTCTTGTTGACGCTGGGTGGTGGAATGTTGATGCGTGTCCCTGTCTCCTGCATGATCTCACTCACCAGCTTGTTGAAAGGGCCAGCAATGAAGGGGTGGTACACTTTATCCACATCCAGTCTCTCCACTGCACGCTTATCCTTCACAAAGGCAAAACAAGACAGATTATTCACAGAGCTCCATGGGTATGTTCTAGGTAAAGTGTGCTGGAAAGTCCCCACTCTGGAGAGCAGAGTTCTCAAGTATGACTTCTTACCGCTCTACAAGAGTGCCCTATACCCCTGGATACAAGTATCCCTTGTGTTCATAATCCTTTTAAAATTCACCCCTTAAATCTTCAGCTCCTGTAAGAGCCTTACTACCTATATCATGACAACATTCCCATTCATGAAACCCCTCCTCCTTTCACCTGGCACCTATAGCCTTTTTCACCCCAAGGATTCATAACATTTTAAAATGGTAATACTCCCTATCTGTCTTTGTAGAAACGGAAAGGTGGAGGAACAGAGCCAGTGGCATGCAGGGCTTGAGGCCAGGGCTCCTGACTCCTAGAGCTGCACTTTGACCACTAAACACAACACTGTCTCTCCACTGAACTACAGTCCTTTTGTACAAGGAGGCTGCACCATCTTGTGCGACAGCATGCATCTACCTGTTCCCAGGAGGCAGGGAAGATGAAGGTGCCACTCAGATACCTGCTCAGCGGAGATCAGCAGGATCTCGTGTCGGGCCTTCTCTATCCCTTCCTTGGTGCCGGTGATCTTGATCTGGTTGCTGGGGTCGTCCGGGCGGGGGATCTGGATTTTGGTTGCAGTTTTGAGCTCCAGGTCCTGCAGCTTCTCGCCATTCTTGCCAATGACAAAGCGATGATGCTCCTTGGGAATGGCAACTGTTGCTGAAGCCTGCAACACAGGAACCAAACACTGGAATGAGTACTCATCTGTCATGGTCAGAAACAGAAGACCCAAGTTAGCTGCCTCTCAGGATGGCGTTACAGAACAAGACAAGTCCCCTTAGCCAGGGGCTATGTTCTGTCTCAGGAATAAGATACTGATTATTTCCCTCTATGGAGCCTGTATTACCAACAAAAATGAAAGATTAATTGCTTTCCTCACCCAAATAGCAGTATTTTGAGTTAATTTAGATCTTGTAAGAGATATGAGAAGGAAGCTCTGGAGACTGAAGTCCCCTAGTCGCTGATGGCAAGGTCCCCTAGATACACCATGGGCAGGAGCAGCGCAAGCAACTTGGTACTGCAGCTACAGTTTAGAGAGCCTGCCTTGAGGGTGTGTGTTGATTCAGACTTTTGGCCTCTGCTGCTAAGGTTGCCAAGACCTTAGCATGTGGGCACTTGTTCACTAGGGACTCGATCAAGACCACTTATTTCACAGAGAGCAGACAGCCATTAGATGGTAACCTTTGCTCACTACTGAAGTGGTACGTTTGAACATGTGCTCTACTAGCAAAAGGTACTGTTCCTGGAGTCATCCCAGGACTGTAGAGGCTACTTTTTCAGAACCTACTCTCTGAATCTGCCATTAAGGGTTAGGTATGTGCTTGGGAATATTTCCTTTTCTTGTATATCCCATCACTTCAGTTTTAACCTTTTTGCTATCTTGGTGGCTTATGATCCTATGGGATCTCTTGATGCCAGTTCATGTATATAGAGACTTTAAGAAGTTACACACATGAAAAAGTCAAGGCAAACACAAAAATCCTTAGCGGTGTAGCCTATAGACACAACTTGGGCTTCAACTCTACTGCCTGCTACTCTTTTTTTGGGGGGGGGGGGGGGGGGTGTTTAAAACAAGAATACAGGGATGAGGAAGGGGTGGAAACAGACTCTAGGCAAGTGCAATAGGAAATCTTAGCCCAATGTGCTATATTTGAGCAAAAAGTGCTCTCCTACAGCACTCCCAGATGTGCCCCCTTCTAGAGCTTGTATCATTGTTTACCATCTGATTGGGTGCGATGTGTGGGTGGAAAGGTACTGTTGTGGTGTGTACATTAGTGTTATCAATGGCAACTGCCTCTACTGGAAATGCATTTGAGAAACCTTAACGGCAAGTCAAAAGTGAGCTGAGAGACGTTAAAAAATATAGAAAGAAAGCTTTGATAATACTCTCTTGTCCTCAGACAGATTATAAAAATATGCAGCAGTGAGAGGAGAAAACAATTGCATCTACGGGGTTCTGGTACTCAAGTCCCACTTGTAAGCTATGCCATCAGAAACCCCTGATTGTATTACTATCTAGTAACTCCTCTCCTTCACCTCCTCCATTTATCTGTATGTATATACCACACTAACTGTTAGCCATCTCCCAGGCAATACCAGCTTCTTGTGAGGGGTCTGCAGTCTCCCCAGGTACAATGTCTTGTTTGTATAGCAGATATTGCAGGGATCTAGCTGGGGAGGAGTTTACACCATGGCCTGTAATTAGCTTTGAACCTTATTTCAAGCCTGGTCTCCATCCCAATTCATCATTTGTGCATTTTGAAAGAGGCAAGGCAAAACTAGATTAATCATCTAATTACAACCCTTCAGTTTATGAGCACCCACGCCCAAAGGCCTCCAAGCAGCAGGGCATCTTGTTGGAGGAGCAAAGACAAGTAGAAGAGAACAGTTAGATACACTCACCTGTGTCTGAAGCCGAGCGACAATCTCCTTCCGAGCTTTCATGACTGCTTCCAGCTTGCCAGAGACCATGATCGAAAGACCCTGGTCCTTTGCGAGAGAGAGCTCCAGGTGAGCACCAGTCTTCTGCATGATGTCCAGGCAGATCTTGGCCTGCTCTCCTTCTCCAAACTGGTTCATGTCCTTGTATTTCCTTTCCTCCAGCGGTACATGAAACACCTGATCAACCCATATAACAGGTGAAGCGAGGGCAGATTATTCAGCGTGACACAGGCTGTTGAGTTATATGGACAAGCCCTACTGCATAGGCTACGAGTTGGGTTACTACACTGGATCTTCACCCTTCACTAAATTAAGATACTCATGCAGTAGGCTGAGCCATCAATTCTTGGCAGTTTTAATAAGCTGCTTTATTTATGCCACAGGAATCTGCTGCATGCCAGAATTACATGCTTTCAGAGGAAGGTGCAAGAACCCCACAGCAGGCAGAAGTGGGATAGTCTGTTCCCAGAAAGGTCTCATTCTAACTCCCCGACCCCAGTTAGAGATGAACTTAAGCCCTGAAGCATAAGCTTTTATATCCTTTCAAAGTTTTAGTATTAGGTATTAGAACTCAGGATATTCTTGTCCATTCTCAGGATTACCAATACTATTTATCAAATGAGGGTGTACGGACAAGAATAAGACTCTTTTAGCTAACTCCTCTTCCACTGAACTCTCTATCACAGCAATGCTGGGCATACTCCTCTCTGCAAGTAGCGCCCTTCTGTTTAACCCTCTTGGCATATCACTTTCACCTGCAGTACTTCCTCTCCCTGTACCCTGGGTCACTGGAGAGGAGGAAACCACTCTCCACCCTCGCTCAGCATACTACCTAATGAGTTCTTAAGATGCTCATCTGTATTATTTTTGGAATGGGGAGGAGACAGACTGTTGCGGGGGTGGGGGGGGGGGGGGATTAGAAGTTTGGCTTCCACCAACCTGAGTGATGACAGAAGCCTTGATCGGTCGAATTTTGCTCCAGGCACCAGCCGGTTCCTGGGCAGGTTCCAAACATGCTGCTTTCTCAGGGAGTGGAGGAAAGGCATCCTTATAAGTTGGAGGGTCATTTTCCTCTTCAGAGTTTAAAGCTGCAACTGCAGTGAGGCAAATACAAAGTTTTAATTCCCAGCAATTCTCCCATTCATGCCCATTGCAGATGTCTATTTAAGTAGGGTTGAGGGAAGCAGGTTGTGCACTATTGGGAATGATCATTAATAATTAGGTTTATTATGGCAGTGCCCAAGGACCAACCCAGAACAGGGCTCCATTGTGGTAGGTACTGTATAAAGAGAGAAGTAGACAAGTCCCTGCCCCAAAGAGATTACAATCTAAATAGACATGACAAACACAGGGTGGGGGAAAGAGCAAAACACACCAGCAGAGTGAATAAAGTGATGGCAACAAACTGCACATTAGTGCCACAATATGCATTTATTTAGGGTGGGTTCAGTTAAGAGGGGGATCAGCTATATGCAAAGAAAAGTAAAGAGGATGAGGCAGACAGGGCAAGGGATAGGAAGGTAGGAGGGGCAGGTGTGGAATCAAGCTGAGGTGAAGAGACTGAGGGACATGGAGGGTTGGAGCAAACAGAGCAGAGAAAGTCCAGCAAAATCCTGGATATTGGGCAAGGGGGAGCTCAGGTACGATCCACTAGGGAACTAGTAAGAGCTCTAAGTACACTGGACCAAGTTAAGATCTGTTGTGAAGAAGGTGCAACTCTTCTCAAGTTAGAGTTGGCCCACTGTGTTGGAAGGATGGGAGACAGAGTCCACCAGTAGCTTCTCCCACATAGCTGCGGCTATGAAAGAGAGTGTGTGGCAGGAAACAGCCCACGGTGCCTGACCCTGCTACTAAAAGAGCAAGTACTCTCACATCACTGTGTGTTGCTCTCCCAGATACACCCTATTCTACCATTGTTGTCACAATCTGCTTAAAAGGAGGATTCCTTATAGAGGCTGAGGGCCTGATTCTCTCAGGTCATTTACACCTGGGCAAAATAGATATGAAATACTACCATCCTACTCTAGGTGGTTAACCATAATCTGATGGCCCAACCATACTATGAATAAGGAGATCTCTTCTTTGGCTGCCCACAAGTACCCTGCAATTCTGAAGCACTTGTAGGTAGCAGGAGGGACCCCATCTGTGCAGCGAATATCAAGTGGGATTTCATAGGAACTTTGTGACCATCTTACCTTTCACCTGCTGCTGAGCCAGGCCGCTGCGGTGTTCAGCGAAGCTCTCCTGGGTCAAAACTGCCACAGAGCTCATTGTCGATTTCCCACCTACACACAATCCGGGTATGCCACTGGGAGAGAGCAGGGTGCACTGCTTATCACCAGCATCACCATAACCAAAAACAGGGAGAGGTGGACTTCCCCATGGGCAGAATTTAAGAGACTAGTTTAAAACTTAATTTGGAGTGAAGGAGCCACTGTGTTTACCTGAGAGCTTCCATAAAAGTGAAAACACCTCCCCCATACCATGCCCAGGACGGAAGCAGTGACTAAGATTCTTGTCAGTATCAAGGGGAAACCATTTCTCATTTGTACATATGTCATCTAGGGACAAATTGATGGTAAATCAATCTCTGTCTTACACACACACACACACCCACACACCCTCATTAGTAGAGCCCTGCATGGATACAAAATTTGTATCCACATCCAATCTGCAAACATGGTCCGCGGATATAAAGCGAAGATCTGCAGATTTGCAGGGCTCTATTAATTAGCGACCACACTTCTGAATGGCAAGGAAATGCAAAATCCACTTCTAATAATTTTTTCTTATTTACCAATGGATTTGATTCTGCAGTGATCACAAAGGACAGTACAGATACTGAGGAAGCTTCAGTATCTTGCCTAGCCCCTGCCTCTAGAGTTTCTACTATGTGGACTCTTGTCCTCTTCCCACTGCTTTCTATGCTTGGAGTACTATCGTTAGGAACAAACATTAGCAACAAATCTAGATTAAGCAATTAGCTAGGTTTTCTCTCAGATTCATCCTTGGCACTCCGAGTCCTCACCCCCTTTCATGATCAACTACAGCTCCACTTCACCTCTAGCTTGGCAAGCCAGAATCACTATGACCAACACTCATACAAGCTGTGTGAAACTTGCTTCATGAGCAAGATTGGAGTTAAGTCCCTCTCCTGACAAAGAGCCCTGAAAAACAGTTGCTTTAAAGGAGCAAAGCGGTCTATGGCAGCTCCCACTCTCAAGCTTTTCAGTCAATCCAGTAACAGAACGTATTGACCTTAACACAGACCAACATTCCACATTCTAAACTCAGTGCTCAGAGTTCAGAAGGGTGGGATGTCCACAGCCTATGCCTACAGAAGAGGGGAACAAGTAGACTAGCACCCTCTAATCATCCTATCTACATTTATCATTAAGGTGCGTTTTTTTTGTTGTTTTTAAATTCAATGACCATACATTGACTCTGGATGGGATAAAACTGCAGAAAGGTGCTCTCTAAAGTACAGGTCCATCATGCAAGAAAGGTCCATAATGAGAAAAGATAGCTGTGGGCAGATGGTCACTGCAGAACACTGGTAATTTCTCTTTGCTGAGCAAGTGGCCCAGAAACAGGAAGGTCTGATATATACAAACAGTAACTTACCAGCTAAATGGTCAGTAGCCAGAAAGTCCGTCCTGTTAGCTGCCTGTTTGTCAGCCTGCCAGCTTTTGCTTTATAGAAAGAAAAAATAGTTATTAACTGCGCTCCAAGACAAAAGAAAATATGACCCCCCCCCCAATCCTGTAGAATTTCAAAAGTGTTGCCTTTACTGTATTTTTTGTTTCAAACTAAGTAAGGCTCTGTGCCATCTCAAACTTGCCCATCATCAAGGAAACTCCAACACTAATTCACAGATTGCTGCATCACCTCCATATTGTTTAACCACAACCATAGGGAATCACCAGCACAAAGCTAAATCCCACAGGAAACTTTGTTCGGTTACCCTGCCTACAAAAGCCTATATAGTGTAAGGCTGGAATACAGCAGATTAGTAACAGATGTAGGCTATGAATTCAAAGTTTCAGGGTTGAAAACCACAGTATCAACGGCAATCCATCTAGTTGGAGGAAACAACCTGAAAAACTGCCAATAAAATTGACAGTCAGAAGTTAGGAATGTAACTTGGTGAATCAATGCAGACTCTTCCTCAGAACCCAAGACAGAGAGACATAGCTGCATGCAGACAGGTGCTGGTTATAACACACACTAGACACTAAACACTAAACTTGAGTCTTTAAACATATTCTAAATCCCCCTGCCAGGTATACCCACCTTGTCAAGAGAGCTTCCCCAAGAACTTCAGAGATTTTGAAGTTAGCATATAAGCAACCCCAAAAGCTAACATCTAATCATCAGCTGGAGGCACAAGGCCTTTTACTCCAAGTATTGCAGTTTAGCTTTGAAGAGGCTTTCATTAAGTGTTCCACAAATGATGCTCATCTCCTAAATCCGTTCCCCACCTTCTCAATAAGGCAGTACCTCTATCATTTCTTTGACTGCCCCAAAGCATGCTAGAAGTGTCACAAAAGTCAAGACTCAGTCTTTGCTGCTAAGAGGTCACAATCTAAACGAGACATGACACAATAAGTGATGGTGATTGACTAAGGGGGGCAGGGGAAGAGGAGGAAAGGATAAGAGTAGCAAGATCACCACAATGTAAGGGCCTGATCCAAAACTTGTTGAAGATCTTTGGGAGTCTTTCCACTGTCTTCAGTTGGCCTTGGGATCAGGCTTAGACACATGATGGTTCCCTTAGTTTTTGGTTTTACAAAGAACGTTTACTCACCTTCTCATAACTGTTGTTCTTCGAGATGTGTTGTTCATGTCCATTACAATCAGTTGTGTGCGCACACACACGTGTACAGTAGCCGGAAGATTTTTCCCCTAGCAGCATCCGTCGGGTCGGCCTGGGCGCCCTCTGGAGTCATGCCTTCCTGGCGCCCAATAAAGGGCCCTGCCGACCCGCCACCCCCTCAGTTCCTTCTTGCCAGCTACTCCAACAGCGGGGTAGGAGGATGGGTATTGGAATGGACATGAACACCACATCTCGAAGAACAAGGGTTACGAGAAGGCGCGTAATGTTTTTTCTTCAAGTGCTTGTTCATGTCAATTCCAATTAGGTGACTCACAAGCCCAAGTTCAGGAAGCAGGGTCAGAGTTGTCCACTGATTGGAGCACTGCTCGTCCGAAGGCCGCATCGTCTCTGGCCTGCTGGGTAATTGCATAGTGCGTGGCAAAAGTATGGATGGAGGACCACGTCACCGCTCTGCAGATATCCTGAGTGGGAACATGAGCTAGGAATGCTGTTGATGAAGCCTACGTCCTGGTGGAGGGTGCAGTGATTGGAGGTGTAGGAACCCTGCCAGGTTGTAGAACGCACGAATACAGGACACTATCCATGACAAGATGTGTTGTGACAATATCGGCTGACCTTTCATTCTGTCCGCCACTGCCACAAATAACTGGATCAACTTTCTGAATGACTTCGTTCTCTCCATGTAGAAGGTTAGTGCCCTGCGGGCATCCAGTGAGTGAAGTCTGCTCCCTGCTACTGGAATGCGGCATAGGGTAGAACACCGGGAGAAAGATGTACTGAAAGCGGGATCTCCAGTGCCTGGGTCCAACTGAGGTCGGAGAGCTGCCTCCATGAGAAGGCTTTTAAGCCACTGCTCCCTCTGTTTAAGAGTTCTTGGTCGGAATTCTCAACAGCTCTTGCAGCGATCTTTTTGGTGACCCTCGCCCAGACACCATAAACAGGAGGCGTGGGGGTCACTTTTAGGCAGTCGTGGCAAGTCTTGAAGCCCGGGAATAGCGGCATGTCCCAGTGACAAATAAGGGGGAGGAGAGGGGAAACTAACTATTAACAGCGAAAACCGAAATTACTGCTAAGCCGCTTGCCGAAGCAAGAGCAAGGGGAAGTTACAGCTACCATCACTGGTGGTAAGAAGGAACAGAGTGGGTGGCGGGTCGGCAGGGCCCTTTATTGGGTGCCATGAAGGCGTGACTCCAGGGGGCGCCCAGGCCGACCCGATGGATGCTGCTAGGGGGGAAAAAAAATCTTCCGGCTACTATACACATGCACTTGCACACAACTGATTGGAACTGAGATGAACAAGCATTCAAAGAAGAACAAACATTAAAGTTACTTATATTATAGTTATTGTAGCCAGCAGGGAATAAACGGGGAAAAGGTTGAGGGAAGGTGAAGCTAGCCATTCTGTTAAATTAGAGCACTGCCAGTAACATGTTCTGGAAGGAATATGCCAATATATTTGTATGTATGACTAATACTCTAACCTAAGAGACAAACTCTAATCTAGTTAATGGTAAGAATGGAGTCTTCATCTTTAGATGGTTTTAAGGCCTGGCTTGACAAAGCCCTGGCTGGGATGATTTAATTGGTGTTGGTCCTGCTTTGAACAGGGGGTTGGACAAGATGACCCCCTGAGGTCTCTTCCAACCCTAATATTCTATGATTCTAATGACAGAGTCAGTGTGATAACATCAAGGTTTACAGCCCTAAGCAGGTTAAGCCATGATGGTACAGTCAAAGAAAGTGTGTTAACTAAGTCACACCCTTCCCAACCTATTTGTGCCAAGGACCAGAGTTTCAGCCAGAAGTATTGACATGATGGACACGAGTATGGTTGGGTGAAGACCTCTTCAGCCATGACCTGCGAATAGCAGTAAGGATACAGAAGGAATATTACTATCCTGGCCATAAGCAGTCACGATCTACACAGAAGTTGCAGATTTCTGTACTGCCTAGAACCTGAATCCATTCATGTTGAAGACTGCAGTGCATTGGTGTCTGGCAGTGATTCAGATTTCCCAGAAGAACACAATTTCCTGCTAACCAGGAGTGGGCTTACTTTGCACATGCTCTGCTCCTCAATGGTTATGGTTAAGGACAAGGTGTTGGTGCACTGTGACCTAATTTAGTGCCCATCTGACAGGGACTTCGGAGCACAGCTGCTGGTTTCACTGAGTCCACACCAGCTGCAGTGATTCTCCTTGCAGTCAACACCAGAGCAATGTATTTAGGAACAGGAATCCCTGAGGTTTAGCAGTGTGAATTACTGCTCTATTATTGGTAGAGCAGACTGAGTGGACATTGTTAGTCTCCACAATTACCCAAGCTGTGAGATACATTGCAGTCCTCAGAGGGTCATGCCAGGCCAGAACTGAAGTGGCCATCAAGTCAGTACATTCAGATAATGGGCCACTTATTAAACCAAAGGGATGCCCCACTTTTTGGGGAAGTATGGCCATACTTTCTTTTCACCCAACAAGCCATGTGCTCATGTTTTAAATGGCTTTGTGACACTGGAAATTTCAGAAGCCCACTGGATGAACTGCAGTTCCTAGGCAAAGGGGATCAACACTGTACTCTCAGAAGTTATTAAAATTTTGTTCTGAAAAAGGATTTATAAACAAGAGGCAGACTCTTCTCTACATGGGAAATGCGTGTATGCAAGAACAAATACATACGAGATTACATGGCAAGCCACAATTTAGATTTTCAACAGGATCAGCATTTTTGGACAGCACTAGCAAATCATGTGCCATTTTAATCTATTTTTAATTAAAATGGTTCTCATTTGGGTAATCAAGTTAAATTACATCACATATATAATCAAATGCACAGAAAACAGAAAGGGTGGCTGGGGTCAGCTCCCTTCGACCCTGCAAAGCTCTGGTGTCCTGTCATTTGCCCCAAGGTGTGATTCCCTTCATGGACCTGCTTACCCATCTTCGGAATAGGGACTTCATCTGTATTTATTGCACGTACTCTACAAAACATGCTGAAAAAAGTGCTTTCAGCTAGATGCACTCCTAGCTGGGGGGAGGTTAGCTCAGTGGTTTGAACGTTGGCCTGCTAAACCCAGGGTTGTGAGTTCAATCCTTGAGGGGGCCATTTGGGGATTTAGTTGGGGATTGATCCTGCTTTGAGCAGGGGGTTGGACTAGATGATCGCCTGAGGTCCCTTCCAACTCTAATAATCTATGATTCTAAATATAACCAGCCTAGAGACTGATTAGTTAAGAACATTATGGCATATTTCTACTCCCTGGCCACTCCCATTTTATAACTACTGCCACCTTTTCCGTCTTAAAACTCAATTCTTGTCCATGGTCAATGGTTGTTTCCTGTACACCTGTCAGACCACAGCCCTGACAGCAACACCCACTAGAGAGTGGAGTCCCTAGTTCTGCATCCTTCTGACGTAGGGAGTCTACAAAGCAATTAAATACTCGCAGCTCATCAGGCTCAGGCTGCAGGGCTGTAAAACTGTGGTGCAGACATCCAGACTTGTGCTGGAGCCTGAGATCTGGAACCCTGCAAGGCTGTCCCAAACCCAGGCTCCAGCCCAAGTATCTACACCACAATTTTACAGCCCCGTAGCCCAAGCCCCACAAGCCTGAGTCAGCTGTCAGGACCAGCCTTGGGTGTTTAATTGCTGTGTAGACACACCCTGATAGCCCCGACAGAGCAGTGTAGGCTCCACACTCTTCCTTCTGAGGTTGAAAATTAATTCACCTTTCCAGGATGGTCTATGAAAGTTCCCCTAAGACAATCTGAGATCCAACCAGTCTAATTAAAAACAAGCTATACTGACAAGAGGAGATTAAAATACAACAGTTTGGTCTTGCAGAGTGACATGGTAGACCGGTTATGCGGTCCAGACAGGTTAGTTAGTGAATGCAAGCTGCCCTTCTATTTTTGGAAGTGCACCTTCTCTCCCCATGCCCTCACCCTTGCCCTCCCAATTTCAGCCTCTGAGTGCCATCACTCTGGCCCCACTTGGTCAGGCAGCCTCTCAAGACAGTCTCCGATTTCAGGTGTTTTATGCTGCCTCACAGATCCCATACAGCCTGTGCCCTTTTTGATGTTAAAGGTGGGACAGAATATACTGTCCCATCAGCATTTCATAAATGCAATAAATGCAATATCTGATCTGGCGGAAATTTCAGTCTGTTCTTCATGCAACAGAGTATCCTTGATCTCCCCCCCCCCCCCCCCAATCTAGCTTTGGAATTATTTCAATTTCTTCTCACGAAACCTTACATTTCAAATACACCTTTGATCTTGCCTGCACCTTAGTCAGTTTAAGACAAGGTAGTCAATAGGTGGGCGGTGGGCCAAATCTGGACAGCCAGATGCTTTGGAATGGACCTTGAAATTTTTTTAATTTACTAATCATTGTTTTCTCTGGAGTCTGGACCCGGATTATACCTTGACCAAGAAATTTGGACCCTTGACAAAAAATAATTGACTACCCCTGGATGACTGGATACTGGTAACTGGTTTACATGTCACTTCTGTTAAGGTTGAAGCTGTTAAACTGACTCAAGCTTCGGCTGCCTTCAAAGTGACAAGATTTACTTTTTTTGTAGTTTCCTCTTACCAACATTTCTAGTAAATTGTTACTTGACAGATGAAAAGCAATCTATCCCGATCACACACAGATGGAGAGTAATTCAGACAATTTGTTATAATGCAAGCATATTCTAACAAAGACATTCATAGCAGATTCTAAATAGGACTGGACATTTTGCTTAAGTGAAGCCTTATGCCTAAAGTAAAGTGAGAAGAAAGGCTAATTACCTATTAAAAAAAAAACCTTATCTGAAATCTGTACATGTGCACACCTGTGAGGGGGTGCAGGCTGACTTCCAAACCATTCTGAAGTTTAGAAAGACTTTGGGAGTGCCCTGCAGAGCAAGCAGTGTCAGTGTAGAGCAGAAAGTAATTTTCGCAAATGCCACCTCAGCACTGCCTGTACCAGTGACCATTCATAGCTTCAGAGAGGGGGAGGGGAAAGAGATGAGGGGGAGGTGCAACCTTAAAGGGCCAGTAAACCTATCAAATCCCTCCCTAGTTAACTGCATCTACAAGACTACTTTAGTCACAAAAGCTTGAGTTTTATACAGGCCACCCAGAAAGATTAAGAGTTGTTAAACACCAGATAATGCCCCTTACAATAACCTTGTCCTCTTCAATATGGTCAATTATAAGTTGATTAACAAACTTCATTTGTGTGTTAGTCTAACCAGTGTTTAAGTGCTCTGAAAAGCTACTGTACTAGTCCCAACTCCAATGAAGTTTAATCCATTTCTCCTTAATCACCAAACAAGTTTATAGATACATACATCCAAGATGCATCCTAAGGACAGTTATTTATACTTTTCTAGGCCTTGTGATATATGGCACAATAATAATGAGACTAAAGATTGGAGGTGGGGTGTGTGTGTGAAAGTGAATTGGGGGGGGTGGGATGAGAAGACTAGACAAACAGATATTCACTGGTTGGAGAGGAACCAGGGACATGGTAATACTGAAAAGAGATCTAGAGTTGATAGCAGAGATCGAATTATATGACTTTGCAATGTGATACATCAACAAAGAAAAAAAGGCTAGGTCAGTTTTGAACTGCAGATGGAGAGAAAAAAAGTAACAATCCCTCTCTATATGAAAGCACCACACCAAGAATATTGTGTTCAGTTGTGTACCTAGATTACTAGGAAGATACTGACAAATTGGAGTCTCACTTTTAGCCTCACTACAGAAGAGCAACCCAAATGATTAGAAGGCGATAGGGATTAATTTGAGAGACATGTAACATTTACAGTATGGTTAAGAGATTACATCCATCTTCTACAAGTATTTGACACACACACCAAGGAAGGACAGGAATTCTTTAGGGAAGGTAACTAGGAGTAACAGGATAATATTAAGGGGAAAAGCTAGTAAGTTACTCTGATATTCATTCTAACAGTGATACCTACATGGAAATAACCTCTTAAAGGAAGGGGTTGCAATGAGTCACCTGAAACTCTAAAACTAAAGTCACTTGGGAGAGGGGGCAAGGAAAAAGACACAGATACCAGAACCCCGCACCTGCAGTTATATGGACCAAATTACTGAAAGCCTAGTCACACATTAATATCTATTATTTAAATCAGCCTTGCAAAATTGTCAGAGAAATCACTAGCTAAAGCACAAAAGCACCTCACCTGCTCTTCACCATGAAACTAATGAAAAAGCTTATTTTATTTACTCTTTTTCCTTTCCCCTTAAAAAAAAAAAAGTTACACCCGACAGATAGCATTTTGCAAGGCTGATCTGGCATTGGACAAGATCCCAAGGCAGGCCATTTTGTTACAATTAAAGATTTCAGTTCACCAGGTCTAACCGGGTGTAAAGCCCCTCTAGTCAGCTTCTGGTGGTAGGTATTTGAACCACTGCCCTCCACCCTTTTTTCTTCACTAAAAAGAATCATCCAAAAAACCTTCTCATTAATAAAACCTAACCAGAATCTCTCTGCCATGCCTGACCGCTACTCAGTCTCACCTACACATTGCCATTCAGGGGAACCCTCCCCTTTCATATAGATCCCATCCAGGAACTCTGGCTCTTGTCTAGGCTAGGATAAGAGGCATAACTGGTGGCTGATATCCTAGGAGTCCAATGCAGACAAGACACTGTATACTTTAATATTTGTTATACTACTATAAAGTGCAAGTTAGGCTCCCTCCTAGCATTCAACATAGAGGGAACACATTAAAAGCAGTGTGCTTTCTCTACACTAGATTACAGGACATGTTAGCAGTACACCTTTAAATCCTAGTCTAGACAAAGCCTAAATCTTCCCTCCCGCTAGACAGCCCCATCCCAGAAACCACAACATTTTATCCCACCTCCCTAAATTTCTGTAAAGCCATCCTCACCCAGTCCCGCCCAAACACTCCAGATAAAGTAATTTCAAATGATAAGATTGGGTCTATGAATCAGCCACCCTCATTCTCAAGTAATTAAAAGCAGAACACTGATTTTGTAACCAGCCTCCCCCAATTCCTTATGCCCGTGCTTTTATTTACGGTCATTATTTCATCCTCTCCAAATACATATACAGGAATAAGATCAAGGCAGGTAATTAAACACAGCCCTACTCAAATATACCTACCCAGAAACCCACTAACCCACCTGATGGGACTTTCTTGGTGTACACTAAAACCTCCGATGTGCTGTGCAGATTAGCAAACTATGGAGTGGTTTCTAGCAAAGAGGTCTAAAAGACCAAAGTAAGTCTGCAAAGATCCTGATGGTAGGGACAACTGAACTTTGTACGATTCTTACAAATATCAGCTATGAACAATGTCAGAAGTTTCACAATCCCAGCTCCAAAACTGACTAGCTTGCAACAATCTTAAAAAGTAAAACAGTCAAAGGGACACAAAAAGTTAGCAGCGACACCACAATGAAGTTACACTTCGTCCTTCTTATTAAATGTTTGTTGAGCTGTTTTGGGGGTGGAATGGATGTTGGCTGGGCTGATTTAAGAAGGGAATTATCACGCAGCCCTGAAACCGAGGTGGAGGGGAGGGTGCTTGGCTGCTCTCTTGTGGCTACTGCCAGCGTCATCATCAAAATCCCACGTTAATTCAGCAATGCACCCCTCCCCCCCCCGAGCAAAGAGAAGAAGAAGAAAAAAAAGAGACAAACGGTGAAAATGGAGCCAGGCGCCGCGAGCAGCAGGTCTGGGAACAGCCCCACGTGCAAGGCGCAGACCCAGCGAACGCACGAACAGCAGGTGGGCGCCCAGCTAACAACGCCGGCGGCAGGGGCCCAGCCAGGAGATACCCCCGCGGGCAGGCAGCGAGCCCGAGCCCGCTCTGTGCCAGGGCACAGCGTCCTGCCCTGCACGGGACGCAGGCAGCTGCAGCACAGAGCCCCCCGGGGGTCACCGGCCCCCACCCCGCTCGGGACAAGGCCGGACAGAAAGTTCGTGCAAAGTTCGGCGGCGGCGCCGGCGCCGGGCGAGCCCGGGCCCATGCGCAGTAGTGACACGTAGGTCTCGCCCCCTCCCCCTCCCAGCGGCGGCACCCGGGGGCTACGGCAGCGAAGCTCTAAGCGGCGGCGCTGCGGGCAGGGAGGGGGCGCGGGGCTGCGGCGGGGGGAGCGGGGCAGGCAGCTCCCTCCTCTGCCGCCGCGTCTCAGCCTCCACGTCGGCAAATTGGCTCCGCTGCCCGCGCCGCCCTCTCCAGCCAACTTGGTGCCGCGGGCTCGGCCCGGTACCTCGGCTGCAGCGGGCGAGGGGCGACGGGAGCCCCAAGCCCCGGCCCCCGCCCGGCATGCAACTTACTCCGGCTGGTGCCCTGCTAGCTCTCTCTGCTGGAGAAGCCCCGAAACGCTCCTGGGAAAGCTGCGAGGCACCTTCCCCGGTTGCTATATAGGGCGGGCGGCTGCCAATCCCAGCCACGCACGTCAGAGCCATGCCCCTTCCCTTCCAGGCCCGGCCTGGCCCCGCCACCGCAGCGCCGCCGGCAGGGCGCTGCCCCGGTCCGGTCCACAGAGGCAGCTGGGCCTCAGGGGGAAGGAGGAGCTGGGCCCCGCTGCGCGACCTTGGCTCTCAGCGCCTCCCGCTCTCGACGGAGGCGGTAGGTCCTCAGCTACCCTGAAGTTCAGCATGATAACCTTCCTCTGCCTCCCTCCCCGTCTGCAGAGTAGGGGGAGGTGAGCTCAGCGGGAGTGACCTCCAATTAGCTGGGAGCCAGGAGCGTCCCCCCCTCAGAATTCCACTTCCCCACATTCTGACAGTCCAGTCAAGCGTCAGGGTTGACCTGTCCCTTTGGAAAGTACAGGTACATCAGCTACAGGGTAAAAGTCATTTTGATTTCTGGACCAATGTCTACGTGGGGAGTTAAAGAGCTGTGCTGGTAAATTATACCACTATAGTTCATAGAGTATCAGGGTTGGAAGGGACCTCAGGAGATCATCTAGTCCAACCCCCTACTCAAAGCAGGACCAATCCCCAGACAGATTTTTGCCCCAAATTCCTAAATGGTCCCCTCGAGGATTGAACTCACAACCCTGGGTTTAGTAGACCAATGCTCAAACCACTGAGCTATGTTTTCCCTGTGTAGGCATGCCCTTAGCGTTAATTCACTAATGTTAGTAGAGTGTGCTGAAAAGCAAAGACATAAGGTCTAAGTACTATTTTAGCACCTATGTTTCCTATGGCTCACCTTTTACATACAGCACTTTACACAATGTCATCTTTTGTTGCTTTGAACTCTCTCACCCTAAATAGCTAGCCTCTACACAGTCACACATGTCTTTAAAGCATACTTCTGTAAAACTTCTCAACATTAATATAAACAAGGATATAAAAATACATTTGCTTGGTACAGAGATTAGACCTTCATCTGGTTGATTTTAGATTTTTTTCTATCTTGGGGTTTTGTCCTGCTGTCCATCATTGTAATATCTGAAGGTTTTCCATGTAAAATAGATTGGCAATAGCAAAGTCCCCACTCTAGGACTAGGTGTAATGGTTGAGGTGCTCTACTACAGTTTTGGAAGTTGTGGATTTGAGTCTTGCCTCATCTTACACTGAAAGGTCACTTCCAGTTCATCTAGCTACAGAATGGGTACCTGATCCTATTGGGTTAGGGCAGTCAAAGGTAGCCAGCTGTAATGCTAGCTTGTGTGTGGGTGGCTATGAAACTAAGGTGCCTTAACTGGGAGAGACAAGGGGGGGTGGAATGTGAGATAATATCTTTTACTGGACCAACTTCTGTTGGTGAAAGAGACAAACTTTCAACTTACACCGAGCTCTTCTTCAGGTCTGCCTAAACCATGGCAGCGGTTGAGCCATTGGCACAGAGGGACTTTGAAGTTTCTAGCAGACTTCATGGAGTTATTGGCTCTTCTCCTTTATCAGGTATAGAAAGCGCTATGGGGTAGAGGGCTTTTTGGAGTGGGGATGGGGGTAATCTGAAACATTATGTCTGAAATGTATTGTCTGTTTAACTTAGGCTGTAAAATCCTCAGAGAAAGAACTCAGGTGGTTCCCTACTTTTATAGAGTGACATGTATACAGACAGTATTTAATTAAATAGATTGAAAAGACCCATTAGGGAATCTAGTCTATCCCCTGGAAGCTAAAAGCAATAAACTTTAATATGCTTCAGCACCCAGTATATTGTATATCCACTGGTCCTCCCATGAGCACATTTTCACTTCTGCTGTTGTATGTGGTAGAGGCAAGGTCCATGCAGCTGGCCTAACACAGCACAAGTCCCAGGCAAAACAGAGAAACCCCCCTCGCCATTTCAGATTCCCTTATAGTTTAAGGTGCAACCAAAAATCAAACATATGTAAAGTCTCAGACCCTATTCCTTTCATGCAACTAAACAGCATCTAAACACCACACCAATATTAAACAAGGCATTTCTAGTGTCTCCCTGGCCTGATTTCCAGGAAGCTGGACCCACATCCTTAACTTTTTAGACTCCTAGCTTCCACTGATTTAAATGGGAGTTACGAGCCTAAATGCCTTTGAGCATCAGAGCCTTATTTCCATCCATTTTCTCTGTGAAGTGATAAGTCCTTTTTAAGGCTCTGAGTGCAACTAGCTTCAGCTACACCCAATTAGCTCTTGTGCAGGTAGGTAGCCTAGCGTTGCCCAGGTTACCCTCAGCGCAGGGAGGCAATGCCAGATGAAATCCAAGTCTGGAAACCCCTACTGGGATTTATCTTCCTTTCCCCAAATCTCCATCTCATTGTCTGGGCTCACTAGGGCATTCCTTAGGGACATACTGTATCAGATCAGTGATAGGGGTCCACATACAGCTATCACATTGTAGTTATCCACATGAAGTTCTAGTCTCAGACATTACAGATTTGTGGATCTCCTCAACTGTATCCTCTGGAGGGAATCCTCGGGTGGCTTGGCTTTTTTAACCATATGGCTCCAACTACAGAACAGCAACACACAGCATGAGATGGAGTGTGCCACCAGGCTTTGTGGCAGAGGAGGTTCTAGAAGGGCCCATCACTGCCTCTACTTCTAGAGTGGAGATTTCTGTTGTGGGGAAAACCTGTCACAGGCTATTCTCCTCAGAAGTATAAAAACTTCCATAGAGGGAAACAGCCTGTCGTCACCTGTTCCTCACCCCCACCCCCCCCACCAAGTGGTGTGGAGATTTCCTGTGGGAGGATAAAGAGAAAAAGCTTCAGAGATGCTCTGAGGCCTGTCGTGACCTGCTTCCCTGTCCTCCCACTGCACCACCACCAGTGGGAGCAACCTGCCATGGTCACTTCCCTTCCCTCCACAGAATTCTTGAAGGGTTGTTTAGATCCTGCTCTTCTTACCATTCTTTGTCAGGGTGACCACATATTGAAAACAAGAAAACAGGCCATCTGTCATGGAGGCATGTATACGGTGGGTTTGGTAGGGCCCAGCCAGGAGAGCTTAGGCATCAGGGGAGAAGAGGGTGCCCGCTCATTATGACATGCAATGCCCCACCTCTCCCTTCCCTGATACCCTGTGGATTTGGCTGTGTAAAGAGAGGGAGACTGGCTTGAGGACTAGTGAGAAGAAGAGCCAACAACTAGACATCATGGGAAAGATGTTAACATGTGACAAGTGGGGCAGTCCTTGATGAGTACATATGCTCCAGCAACCTATCGTCAGTTTCCCTGGCTCAGCTGCAGGCAGTGCCTGCATATGTCCAGTCTGAAGGAATGCACAGAAACTGGCACAAAACAATGATTTGAAACCCTCAGGGACACTGGGACAGGCCCTAAAAACAGGACATGTCACGACATTCTGAGAATGGAGAAATGGGGAGAAAGAAGCCTCTCCGAGCCCTGTTTTCCTTAGGAACAGAGATTTCTAGGAAGGGAAAAACTTGGCTCCTCAACTTCTCGTGCAAAGATGCTGGTCTTTCAAGCCACATTCACCCTCAGACAACCTGGGATCTTTCCAAGGGCTTTTCAAGCGTTTTCTGGTATTGCAAGGGATGCATACTTTGTTTTGCAGCCAGGGACTGAATTCAACCCAAATGTGCTAAAAAAGTGGTGAATATGAATGTATGATTCATTATATCTTAAGATTTCTAAAATGTAGCTAGTAAGCACGCATCTTGTGCTCTGGGTGCTTATCCCAAACACTGAAATCACAAAATAATGCAAGAGAACTGGCCAGAAATATATCTACCTCAGTTGCATTAGAGAACAGAAAAAAAGATGGGCTTCACAGCTCGCTCAAAAGGTTAACAAATCTAGGCTCTACAGCACAGACTCTCAAAGGTCTTTAGGCTCCTAACTTCCACTGATTTCAGTGGATGTTAGGATCTTAAATACCTTTGAGGATCTGGGCCCAGCAGACCAAGGAGGGAAGTGAGTTCCAAAACAGAGGACTAGTCATAAAGAACACCTTGCAAGTTCCCTCTCGTTTATATTGAGGGAGTTCCAGCTTTACCAGCTCTGCTAATCTCGATTTTGGCAGTACTAAGGCTGCGTTAGAAAGTACTTGTTTATTTCTTTTAGGCAGACTACTGTTTTAAAAGAAGGTGGAAGGAGAACTCAGAATGAAGGCCTTACACAAGTCAGAGAATACTGAAACTCTCCCACAAGCAAAGCAAGTTACTCCATGGAGCCAATAATTTGTTTTCATGGTATACACTCAGATACATTGTTTATCACTGGAAGAAAACCTTTGATAAGGTTGTGATAATATAGATCACCATGTGGGGGAAAAGAGAGAGAAAAAAGTAGTTTGCTGTAAAAAGTGACTCAGAGTGGCATAACAACATTCTATGCTACCTATATCAATGACTTCCAGACCAAATTTGCATCATTTACAACTGGATAGGAAAAAAGTTCTCAACGGAGATCTGGAAATGAAGCTGTGTTCCTTCTGATTCATGCATCATCACCAGTAATAAAGATTCCATTGGCCAAATTCTGCCGTAGGTTACACCTACGCAACCCCACGGTCTTCAGTTGTCCACTGTCTACACTTGAGTGTGGGGGCAGGTTTGAATCCCTAAATGGTGCTCCTGTTGAATGGAAAAGCACCCATACCTGAGCCTAATATGAATAAATAGCCTGATCCTAACCAAGTAGTTTTATAAAGAAGTTCCCTTGCCATAGTAAGAAAGCTGACCAAAGAGACTGAGATCACGGTGAATTTGTGACACTGTTTAACCTGACTGGGCTTCTCTATCAGCCTATAAGCAATGCAGTGTCCTTATAGTATCACTGAATGCTCCACAAAAAAGGCCAAGCAAAATAGGTTTGAAAAATGAAAGTAACTTATTGGTTTGGAAAGTGTTCTAAAGTGAGCAGGATAGATAAGAGCAACCCCCATCTGAAGAAAGAGGAACTGCAGCAAGTTGGGGAGTAGGTGGTCATGATTTACCTATGGTAAAGTGAGAGGAAGCATTGTGTAGTGGTGTGACTAAGTGGGGGATTTACTTAGTGTTTTGCATTAATATGCTGTGTGCCTCTTTGTGCGTGTTTAACGAGAGGGTGGGAGAAGGTGTTCATTGTTGCAGAAGGCCAGGTGTGACTATGCATAGCAGCCTAGACCCTGGACAACAGCCAGGACACTGTAGAATTTAGCAACCAGTGACCTGGAGTCCCACCCCATCTTGGGAGCAAGCCAGTTCTGGCCAGTGGGAGGACAAAGGGCTGAGGAGAGAGGGCCCCCATGATCTGATTAGCTGATTCTGGCCAGTGGGAACAAAGGACAGAAGAGAGGGCCCAGGTGATCTGTTTGCCCAGGACCGAAGACAAAGGATGGAGGAGGGGCTGTTGGGAAGGTGATATATATAGGATGGTCGGCTGGAAGGACGTGGCTTCTGGACTGGGGACAACGGGCAGCCTGAGCCACCTGGACGCTGGACAGACCCAGATGGACAGGGTTGAGGGCCCTGAGAACTTTTTGTGCTGTGTCCAGATGTACAGTAAACCCTTCTGTTTTATGTTGGCTGAGAGTCATTGCAATCTAGAGATCAGGGCTGCATTTCTCCCTCTGAGTGTGGAGGTCCTGGGGGTCCAAAGCGAATAGACTTCCTGAGGGGACTCATGGAGACAGACAGGTGTGCTGAAGGCTCAGAGAGGTGGGGTTCCAGGAGGCGGTGGAGCTCAGGGCTTAACCCCCAAGAGAGAAAGTGACTCCCTACAAGTGCTGTCACACACTGAAGGGGGTTCCTCCCAGGGAACGTACAGAACCGAGAGTGCACAGGTCCCGTGAGACCATGACAAGTGGTTAATGCAGAAGGCAGAGTCAGGAGACATGAACTCCATTTCCAACTCTGCTGTGACTTTCTGTGTTGGCTTGGGAAAGGCTCAACATCTGTGTCTCAGTTTCACCAGCTATAAAAAGGAGAAGATAATCCTTATCTACCTCACAGATTGTGATTTAATAACAGGTTGTACAGCACTCTGTTCTTTGGATGGAAGATACCATAGAAGAACAAAGTTATTATATGTGGCTAGAGAGAGAAAGAGGAAAGTCAGCGGAGAGCCCATTCTAAATGGATTTACAAAGCAAGAGAAAGCAGCAGATGCTGTGTGTGAGATAGTCCTGCCATTTAACGCAAGAGAGCAATCTGGCTGCTGTTTTATATTAATTTGGATTTTAGACACTAAGGATTTGGGAACACCAAAGCAGAAACTACTATAGTTAAAATGGGGTGTAATTAAATACAAGTAAAGATTTCAGCACAGGGATGACTCTCTAGTAGCATTTTCTAGCAATATTCCAGAAGTGTTAATAGGCAGACTTATGAATCAGGGAGATATGGAAAAAGATTGCCATGCCTAAGGAAAACTCCAGGATTCTGGTCTGTATTAAGGGGAAATGCTTGTCAAACAGAAGGGACAAAGAAAGGAAGCATTCGTTTGTGGAAAGTTATATTGCTTCACTATTAGTTAAGAGCTGATTGAGTCAAGAATGGGAGAAGCAGCTTTCAGAAAATGAGTCACATGAAATCTAGATTTAAGTTTTATCTGGGTAGAAGTAATGGCATAGGGTAGCAGGAGGGGGGAAAAAGTCACAGGAATTCAAGAAAATTGAGGTTTATGCTATTCAAATCTTCCCACAATTTTTGCTGTTTTCTGCAGATTACATTTTCCCCTTTAATAAATACTGTTTTAGCTGTTCATCTTGCAAAGAGACCCTTCATAATGGAGCTGCGGTATTGTTCTTCTTTATGTTAAGCCAACACTGCAGAAAAACCGTCTCCAGCCAATAATTAGCAGAAAGGTGTCTTTCAAAGCGAAGTTGGCAGCTTGCATTTTTAAGCAACAGTTCCCCAAGAAATGAGTATTGGGCTGATGTCACAGAACAAAACATGGTCTTTCTGCTCAACATCCACCACTTATTTCTATTTCCTCAGTTTCTGGGATTGTTTATTCATTAAGAATATAAGAGCAGCCATAGTGGGTCTGACCAAAGGTCCATCTAGCCTAGTATCCTGTCTCCTGCCAGTGGGTGATGCCAGGTGCCACAGTGGGAATGAACAGAACAGGCAATCATCAAGTGATACTTTCAAATGGGATTTGTATCCCATCCTGCATTGGCTGGTAGACTGATGTTCTTGTCCATTCATCCTTGCAGTGTTTCTCGAATTCCCCTCTAGCAATTGTAATTTAGAATGAACATGTGGTACTTTTTTGTATGCTGTTGCCAGAAGGTGCAGTAAATATCATGTAGCATGAGACTACTAGGGTCTCAGAGCCTGTACTTTTTCTTCTGGAGGCTAAGTGTGATCTCTGTGCTATCTCCTGGCACAGATCGGGGGAGTGAAAAACAGGATCCATATCTTAGCTTGGGGTCTCCCAATGTGCTGCCTGATACACATACTGTACAAACACCCCTTGCTGATGCTTTACAGAGCAGATTTATCTAAGAGGACCAGTTTACAGCATTTTTAAAAGACCATAACCCACCCTCCCCTCACTGACTTGATTTAGGTAAGTAAGTATGAGCAACCACCACAACAAACTGTGAAAGAGCAAAGAAAAATGCCAAGAGATTACAGAAAGACAACTCAGATGGACAAGGAGAAGGGAGCAAGGACAAAGAGTTAACTCCACAGTGGAAGGAACAATAGAAAGCTTCCCCTACAAAGGAGTGATTAGAGAGGTATTGAGGATTTAAATATGGAAATAGTGGAAAGAGAGAGATTTTTATCTAGTTTAGAGACTAAGGCCTTGGCTACACTGGCACTGTACAGCGCTGCAACTTGCTGCGCTCAGGGGTATGAAAACGCCCCCCCCCCCCCAGCGCCGTGAGTGCAGCGCTGTAAAGCGCCAGTGTGATCAGAGCCTGCAGCGCTGCACGCTCACTCGCAACGCTGCAAGCTACTCCCCTCGGAGAGGTGGAGTACTTACAGCGCTGCGAGAGAGCTCTTGCAGCGCTGGCGGCGTGACTACACTCGCGCTTCACAGCGCTGCCGCAGCAGCACTGTGAATTCCCAAGTGTAGCCAAGGCCTATGATGCCGGGTACTATAGAAAAATCTAATATGGTTCCTTTTAGCTCCTTAAAACACTAATAATATTTAGGGCTGTCAAGCGATTAAAAAAATTAATTGCGATTAATTGCGCAATTAAACTAATCACGATTAATCACGCTGTTAACAACAGAATACCATTTATTTAAAATATTTTTTGGATGTTTACTACATTTTCAAATATATTAATTTCAATTACAACACAGAATACAAAGTGTACAGTGCCCACTTTATAGTTATTTTTATTACAAATATTTGCACTGTAAAAAACAAAAAAAATGTATTTTTCAATTCATCTCATACAAGTACTGTAGTGCAATCTTTTTATCATGAAAGTTGAACTTACAAATGTAGAATTATGTACAAAAAACCTGCATTCAAAAATAAAACAATGTGAAATTGTAGAGCCTACAAGTCCACTCAGTCCTACTTCTTGGTCAGCCAATTACTCAGACAAACAAGGCTGGTTACAATTTGCAGCAGATAATGTTGCCTGCTTCTTGTTTACGTCACCTGAAAGTGAGAACAGGCGTTCACATGGCATTGTTGTAGCTGGCGTTGCAAGATATTTACGTGCCAAATGCGCTACAGATTCATATGTCCCTTCATGTTCAACCACCATTCCAGAGGACATGCTTACATGCTGATGATGGGTTCTGCTTGATAATGATCCAAAGCAGTGCAGACTGACACATGTTCATTTTCATCATTTGAGTCAGGTGCCACCAGCAGAAAGGTTGATTTTCTTTTTTTGTGTTTCAGGTTCTGAGGTTTCCGCATCAGAGTGTTGCTCTTTTAAGAATTGTAGCCGTATTAGTCTGTATCAGCAAAAACAACGAGGAGTCCTTGTCAAGGACTCCTCGTTGTTTTTGCTCTTTTAAGACTTCTAAAAGCATGCTCCACACCTTGTCCCTCTCAGATTTTGGACGGCACTTCAGATTCTTAAATCGTGGGTCGAGTGCTCTAGCTATTTTTAGAAATCTCACATCAGTACCTTCTTTGTGTTTTTAAAACAAACATGTGCTGGGTCATCATCCGAGACTGCTATAACATGAAATATATGCAGAATGCGGGTAAAACAGAGCAGGAGACACACAATTCTCCCCTCATGGAGTATAGTCACAAATTTAATTGACACATAATTTTTTTAACGAGCATCATCAGCATGGAAGCATCTCGTCTGGAATGGTGGCCAAAGCATGAAAGGGGCACACGAATGTTTAGCATATCTGGCACATAAATACCTTGCAATGCCGGCTAGAAAAGTGCCATGTGAATACCTGTTCTCACTTTCAGGTGACATTGTAAATAAGAAGCAGGCAGCAGTATCTCCCGTCAATGAAAACAAACTTGTTTGTCTTAGCAATTGGCAGAATAAGACATAGGACTGAGTGGACTTGTAGGCTCTAAAGTTTTACACTGTTTTGATTTTGAGTGCAGTTATGTAACCAATAAATACATCAATAAATCTGCATTTGTAAGTTATACTTTCATGATAAAGAGATTGCACTTCAGTACTTGTATGAGGTGAATTGAAAAATACTATTTCTTTTATCAGTTTTACAGTGCATATATTTTTAATCAAAAATAATAATATAAAGTGAGCACTGTGCACTTTGTATTCTGTGTTGTAATTGAAATCAATATTGAAAATGTAGAAAAACATCCAAAAATATTTAATAAATTTCAACTGGTATTCTATTGTTATAAGTGCGATTAATCACGACTGATTTTTTTAATCACAATTAATTTTTTTGAGTTAATTGCGTGAGTTAACTGCGATTAAGTGACAGCCCTAATAATATTGTATCCAGTGTTGCAACAAAATCTGAAGAGGTGGCAAGTCTCAAAAATATCTGATGTTTTTCTTAAAGCCCCAGCTCCTGGAGTCATGTGATTACATGAGAATCTCAGCTGCTTTTGTTGTTAAGTTTCTGGCTGTCTTGGTTATAGAGAAAAGCTTGAAAGTGTGAACTGTAAAAGCTCAAAAACCAGAAGGCAAATATAAGCACAATGTTGTCCTGCTCCATAAATAGGGCTCCTCGGTGCGATAGTAATACAAATAATAATAAACAACAAAAGAAGTCCCAATTTTTTTAATCATTATTTTTATGCCAATCATTATTTTGGGGGGCTCATGACTTCTGACCACTTGGGATTGGCAATATTGGGTCTGAAAAGACTATAACAAGTGTCTAGTTACAATGCCAACTTTTTTAAGTAATGATGGGACCGTAGCTATTTAAGCATAGCCTTCCCTTCGTCCTAACCATTGCTATCCATGGTGCATGTGTAATCCACACACCTCCTGGATGTGGTGTGGTGTTCTGTCCCATCTAGTGGCACCGAGAGAGAGAGAGAGAGACAGAGAAAGAGAAAAATGCGTTTGCTTTACAGCCTTAGCTAACAACCAGTTGGCTTTTAGCTCATGCAGTAGAGGCTCATGAAATAAGCTCCCAGAGATCCCAGGTTTGATCCCGCCCACTGACGACTGGGGTCTGTCGACGTTACACATGCACAAGGGGCTCACTATGTCCACATACAAGCACTAATTCCTAATCTCTACTAATCCAAAAAAGGGTTTCTCCATGTGTTAGATGCAGTTATAGTATGGCAATCTAAACTGGCAGTAAAGAAACCAGACTGACTCTGTCTCCCAAAGCTGCAAGGCCTCTCTAAGCTAGCTGTGGTGGAAGAGAGAAAGCTTTGAGTACAGCTAGTCACACTATTTGTTACCAATAATATTTGTTATGGATTGAGGTTAGTGAATCATTCCTGATCTTCTTCAAATGTATGTATTCACCAAAGAATTTGGAATTTATGAATAATTTTTCAGCCTGTGTTACTAAATGTTCACTTTGACTAGTCATTATTTGTGGTCACACACGCAGCACTCTGTATAGTTTCTGCTCCCTGGTGGATAACTGAAACGTTTACTACACTATCCATTGTGGGTTTTCAGGCAACAGTGGAGTTCAAATTTGTGAAACTTCCAGGATTCACAAACTTTTTTTAAAAATTAAATACTTGGTAGCTATTCCCATCCTTGTGACACAGCCCAATCAATGACACTCGACACTTTAATCATAAGAAAATATTTATGAATCAGGGTGGGTTTTTTTTGTTTTACTATTTGGCCAGCTCTACTTTTAAGCAATGCACCAGTCCCTCCTCAGACTCAGAGATCCCCTCAAACACATGCCTCTCATTCTACATAGTAACTGCTGAACTCTTAGTTGTGAACCTATAAGCATATGTAACAATAGGCCTACCGTAATTTGTACTTTAAATTTAAACATGGTATTTTCACTCTGCCTGGCCAGTGATATCCCCTTTCTCTGTGGCTTTCCGTTCAATAGCTGTTAAACAGGTTTAAGTCCAACTTTATCTCTTACAAACAGAGATAAATACAAATCTGTACATACATGAGCAACTGATACAATTAGGGCCTGATCTGAATAGGTACAGAGCACCCCCCGTTCCCTTTGAGACTAGCAGGGCTGGCTCAAAAAGGGTGCCCAGCCTGCAATGCCCCCAGGGAGATGGTGAGCGAGAGAGACACACACAAAGAAAGTTCTCCTTTGCGCTCCATACAGGACTGCCACTGGGGCAAAGAGGAACACTGACAAATGCAGTTAAGTAGTTCC